AAATGAAAATAACTAACCCCTCATGTGGTACAATATGCAACAATCATTATGATGAAATTCTTTTTGTCTCCCCTCGTGTCTTATTCTGCAGCAGTCCCCAAGGAAAAACTATGCTACTTACACTATGAACACCAGGCTCTGCTAATGGGCAATGAACATTTTAAATGTGGAAGCGAGAAGTAAGGATCATGGAAAGGAAACACTAACTGTTGTGTAGCAGAAACGCAAACAATGGCAAAAAGGACTCATCATCAATCATGGATTCCCATGAAAAGGATAGACTGGAAAATTGTAGGTTCTTCGCAGGAAAGTCCTTGAAGAATGTAAATGATGGCTCACCACGGTACATTTTCGGACCCTTTACAGTCGACGGCTCCAACGATTTTGCAATGTGCAAACCTTGGAACAAGGAGTGCAGATATTGCTTCAAAACTCAACATGTGCCTTGAGCAATGAGCAACGAAGCATCAACACAATCCAGGGACAGAAGTGTCAACTTGGAGAACCCTTTGGAGTTCCTGCTTTGCTGTGTACGAAATAATTCAATCTCGCATTCTCGAAACCGGGAAAGTCTGATGACAATCAATTTGGGTCCATGCACCTAGATACTCCCTCCGGTAACTCTCCGTCCATAATGATGCAATTGTCAAAATACGAACTTAAAACATAAAAGAACACCGAATTTAACATGGTATCCTCAACGTATTGTTGAGACTAATCCACGGAGAGGGGAAAACCTCTCGAAGCCAATCGTATTACGTAGCTTCTTAATCCCTTAAGGTTTACAGACGACGTACATAACATATATATAGTGGCCGCCTACAAACCCTAAGCCAGCAGTGGACGGTAATTAACCAAAGCTACTAAAGGCTAATTACAATCCAACACACAAACTTCTAACAGCCTCCCTCAAATTGATGTAGCTTACGCAACATCAATTTGTAAGCCAGAAACCAATATCGAACAGTAGCTACAGCTTTAGTGAGCAAATCTGCAGTCTGCTCCTCAGACGTGATATACGAAAGCTCCACCTGTCCTTCTGAGATGAGTTGTCGAATATAATACACATGTACCTCTATATGCTTCGTGCGATCATGAAGAACAGGATTAGTGGCAATCCGAATAGCACTCGTATTATCACCATACAAACGCATAGGATGCCCACAGTCAATGCCAATCTAAGATAACAAACGTCGGAGCCAAACCAATTTAGAAGTGACTTCAGACATAGATCGATATTCCGTTTCGGTGGATGATTTTGACACACGCTACTGCTTCTTACATCTCCAGGAAATTAATGACTGGCCCATTTTCACACACGATCCAGACGTAGAACAACGAGTATCGAGACAACCAGCATAATCTGCATCAGCGAACGCCTCTAAAACTGGAGTACTCGAGGCAGGAAAAAATAAGCCTACCTCCTGAGTGCCTCGCAGATACCGCAGAATCCGGTTAACCGCCGCCAGATGAGAAGTGTGTGGTTCTTGCATGTACTGACTGACCACCTGGACGACATAGCAGATATCTGGACGAGTATGCGTAAGATTAATAAGACTACCCACCATACTCCTATAAAACGATCCATCATGCAGTAAGTCACCATCTATTTTCTGTAGCTTAAGATTCTGTTCCATGGGGGTAGCACACGGAGTACAGTCGTCCATGTGTGATGTCTCCAATAAATCCACAATATATTTTTGTTGACACACCATCAAACCAGTCGCCGAACGATGGACTTCAAGGCAAAGAAAGTAAGATAAATCACCCAACTCCTTGAGATTAAAGGCCGAACGCAGTTCATGAGTTAATCTCCGAATACCCTCCTCATCATCACCACTAATAACCATATCATCCACATATATGAGCATAACAGTAAGACCAGCCGCAGTACAACGAGTAAACAAGGATGGATCATTGTTACTTTGAACAAACCCAATCCGATGATCGTTGAATGAAACTTCTCAAACCAGGCCCCTGGAGCCTGCTTCAGACCATAACGAGCCCCGAAGTCTACAAACCATCGATTTATCACCTTTGGAATAACCAGGAGGATACTCCATATATATGGTTTCTTTCAAATCCACATGCAGAAAAGCACATCCAGCTATTGTAAACTCCACCCACGTGGCATCTTAACACACATAACCCTTGTGCTTCTCACTGTAGACAACAAAAGCACACTTGATCGCCTTAGGAGCAAATTTATTACGTTCACGTCGAGGGAGTAAGACATAGCAGACACAACCAAAGACCCGTAACCAATCATATTTCGGAAGACGCTGGTGAAGAACCTGGTACGGACTCTGGTGATCTAACACTGAAGTAGGTTGCCGATTAATCAAGTAGACCACAGTATGAATCACCTCCACCCAAAAATTTGTAGGAACACTAGACTGGAACAACAATGCACGAGCTAGCTCTAAAACGTGATGATTTTTGCGCTCCACTAATCCGTTTTGCTGAGAGACTCCTGGGCAGGATTGTTCATGAAGAATACCACGATCACGAAAAACATCTTGAAGAGGTCCTGAAGTAAACTCACCACCTGGATCCGATCGTAAGATCTTAACAGAGCGTCCAAACTGTGTGTGAACCATAGCAAAAAATTCCTTAACTGCACCCAGTAAATCGGACTTCTGTCGAAGGAAATATACCCACGTTATCTCGTAGTATGATCCACAAATAAAGCAAAATATCGAAAGCCAACACGAGAGTTCACAGGCGGCGGGCCCCACAAATCAGTGTGAACTAAAGCAAAAGGTTCGGAGTATTCCGTACTACTCAAACTGAAAGAATGTTGAGATAATTTGGCAGTAACACAATGAACACATTACCGAGACTCAACAGAAGAAACAGATCCGGGGTAACAACTTTGTTTTAAACATATCCAACAGCCTAGCCGAATGGGGATGACCCAAATGACGATACCAAAGTTCCCAATTAGAAAGTTTAACTGAATAACAAGGGCGAGAAGCACCAATAGAAGAACCAACAACCAAGATGCCATCCTGAACACTTCCTCGAGCACCTTCACCAGACACCGCCACCATCTTCCCACGAGAAAGTCGAGCATCATCAAAGGAATCCAAAGTATATATCCGACCGTGTTTAGTCCCTTGGCCGATCATCTCCCCCGACATCGTGTCCTGTATAGCACAACCATGCGAGTCAAATGTAACACGGCAACCCCCTTCTGTTAACTGCCCCACGGAAACAAGGTTCAGAACCAAACTAGGCACATATAAAGCATGATTAAGCTTAACCTACAACCTATAACCTATAACCCATTCTGCTCAATAGTACCCACACCATGAGCAGGAAGACAAGTACCATCTGCCACCTATAACCTCACGCCCGTAGTGGGCGTAAAACCAGTAAAAGACGACCAGCAACTAGTCATGTGGTTAAAAGCAGCATAATCAAGATGCCAAGTCGAAGAAGAGGAAGAAAGAGGCATACCCGTAGTAAAGACATAGCCTAAAACCGAGGGAAGAGTTTCCTTAAGAACCCCCTGCATCAACTGGTGTAAAGATTTACGTGACGCTGGAGAATCAGCCAAGAGTGAAGAACCAGTAGGCATGGTCGCATACGCTGGGGCACAGACCGAGACGAACCCGAGGAGGCGCCAGCAGCTCGAGAATTACCCCGACAAGCAAGAATTGGGCAATCGCCAATAACATGCCCTTCCTTTTGCAGAAATTACAAGAAATACGCTTTGGACAACGACGGTGCACATGCCCAGGCTCCCGACAAAAGTGGCAAATAACCTCACCTAAAGGAGTGCGAAGAAAACGCGGCTTATCAGTGGCAGCAAACGCAACAACAGGTTCGGCGGGAACAGGAGCCGCCGCTGCACTTGACCCGGAGGAGGAAACAGCAAACACAGAGGAACCAGCAGCATCAGCAGAGTGGAGATCAATTTTGGCCTGACTACGCAGCCTAGTCTACTCACGGATCAGCTCCCCTAAAACGTCCTCAATGGTCGAGACATTGCGATGAAGCAATGAGGATCGAATCCCCTCAAATTCAGGACGAAAGTTCATCAAAAATACATAAGACGGGAATTAGCACGCTCTTTAAGCACCTCCGTCGTAGCCGCAGCAGAAACCGAAGAAGAGGTCAACAGATCAAGCTCAGTCCAGAGACTAATCAGAGTTTGATAGTAAGTGCGACCTTGCACAAACACACGGAACTGGAATTCCCAAAGGGAATAATTATGGCCATTAAACTTAATGGCAATGGAATCAACCTTGGATGGATCCATCACAACAGTAAGCAAAAAAACAAGCAGAACCAGCCAACCACCGCTACAAAGTTGTGGGGAAGAAAGCACCAGGAATCCACGCGCACAACAACAACCAAAATAATAATCCAGGCCAACAAAAATTACCAGCGGACAGCAGCAGAGACGCGCGCGAGGATCACGCCAAGAACCACTCCAAGAAAACCACAGCCTGCAGCCACGATACGAGAACACCAAACAATAAACCCCAAGATCAGCAAGGAAGAGGCTCTGATACCATGTCAAAATACGAACTTAAAACATAAAAGAATATCGAATTTAACGTGGTATCCTCAACGTATTGTTGAGACTAATCCACGGAGAGGGGAAAACTTCTCAGAGCCAATCGTATTACGTAGCTTCTTAATCCCTTAAGGTTTACAGACGACATACATAACATTAATTAAAAGTATAATAGCTCAAAACAACAATTACTGTACATCCAGACTGCTTTTCCTATTCATTGTGACTCAAAATTCCTATTCAGTTAGTTCTGATTGGTTGTTGGGCTATGGTGGACCCTTTGAGTACTCTTGCCGTCGTTTAAACGATTTTTTCTTGATTTTGTTGGGAGTGATCGGAGACGGGACGAGCAGCAGAAATAGCTTTTGCTTTTGGTTAGAGTGACCTGGAACGCTAGAGAGAAAATCGCGTTGGTCACCGAGATTCTTTGTGGGACCGATGATTTTTGGTTTGTTGATGGAAGCTTCACGGGATGGGGATTTCAGTCGCCAAGGAATTGGAGGGCGAGTGCTTGAGTCTCCTTTTGCAGGTGGGAGTTGTGCCAGGTTCGCGGCTCGAGGTGATGGAGGTGATTGGGGTTGTCATGGATATTTGGGGGGGTTTTCTCTCTGGGTTTGAGGGGATTGAGCGGTCAGATTGGGAAGTCTGCTCCTTTCTCCACCACATATTTCACCTACCCCAATTGCAAAGATTGCAAAGAGACGGGTCAAGAGCAAGGGAGAGAACTTGTGGAGATCTTTTTTTTTTGACAAATAGAACTTGTGGAGATCAGAACTTTACTTTCTACCCCATTTTCCTTCTTCTCTCCTCCCGTCTGTTCTCTCTCTTTCTCTCTTCTTTTCTATGTGCAATGCAATTGGTTTCTTTTCTCTTCTCAGGAGATGGCGGAGTTGAAGCAATCAATAGGTTTGAGAGGTCCGGAGAAGATCCAGACCAGCCGAGAGTGCCTTTGATTTAAGGTTATTCATCCTTTTCTATGTTAATCTTGCTTTGCTATTCTTGCAGTTCCCTTCATTATCTTTTTTACTCATCATGTTCTCTCTTCCCTCTCAAGTCTCAACTCGCCAGATTGAACAGTCATCAGAGAACTGCCGAATACACATCGGCGACTATGACTATAGTGAGTGTCTCTATGAATCCCAGGTATTTTATCTCTTTATTTTCTTAGGTTCATATATGAGTTTTTTATGGATTTGATATAAGGTTCATTTTTACTTCCCAGATCTGCTACTAGGTGTAACGAACCCCTCTCATTTGTAGATTCGCTGCAATAATAGTCGAGGTAATTGTGGGATTAAACGGTGAGCTCTCGACCTCTTATTCATGTCATCGGCTTCACGACTTTATCCTCTCTATGTGTTCTATGGATTTTGGTTTCAGTTCTCCAGACCTCGGTCAGCAATGGTCCTATTTGGTACGTTTCCTTCTCCTAAGAAGTAGTTCTCCAGCTTCCTCTGTGTCTGTTCGGTTATACTTATAGGTGATTGTTCTGATTCGTTTGTTTTCACTGCAGTTTAATGGTTTAGTTCTGTCTTTCTCATCGGTTGAGCTTCTTTGATTTCTATAAGGGGAGATTCAGGCGGTGAGTTCAGTGCCCAAGATTTGGAAGGTCACAGGTATATTGCTATAGGTGCGTTTTGTTTTTGCTTTTGGGAGATGGGTAGAAGGCTAGAGATCGTATTCTAATAATTGATTCTCCCTCTATTTTTCCCCTTATTATTTCACTTCTCTTTTCTCTGATTTCTCACAGCTTGCTGTGTTGTCTGCTCTGGACTCTCTTTGGTTAAGTGGTGATCGAGAGCTAAATCTCTTCGATGCCACCGCACCACCGCACCACCTCCAACCTCACACCACGAGCAGGTCTGTATCATCTCAATTTTTCCTCTTCAGATTCATATTAGAGGTGGTAATTTGTCCTATTTTCATCGAGGTGCAGGTGGAATCGCATGGGGTTCTAGGTTGATCAATGGATTTGGGGGATCCAAAGGGTTTGGAAAAATGAAAATAGGTAGGTTCATTTTGGTAGATGTAATTGTTGGACTGCTGAGTTTGTTTTCACAATATTCTCTTACTTTCTTCAGGTTACTCCATTTGTCTCCCTTTCTATTCTGTCCAAACCTGATGCAATTAGATGTTGGGTCATAGCTTGATGTCAGGTAGGAGTTCTATTTGGATTTGAAAAAGCTCTGGGGATGTTCCAACATATTTTCTTTTAGATTTGCAATGAGCCACCCAAAAGAATTGCTAATTAGTGGCTACTGGGGATGTTCAGCAGATTTAGTTTTCACATGTATAGAGCACAACTTTGATTTGATATATTGGCAAAGTTTAGAGTGATCTCAATTAGTTCGTAACTAGACTCATGTGTTAATTTATGATAAAATCCAGGAGCCGCAATTGAAACTGTGCTCATTTTGTGGTATCTTATATACAGGTGTTTGAACATAGTGTTTGCTTTTAAAAGGTGGTCTCCTTGATTTGTATTTGTATCAGAAGCTCTTCAATGAGAAGGCTTGGAATTATTTGTTGTGAACAATTGTACATGGATTCATCCCTCTACTAATTTTGTGCTTATATGCTATCCCACGGGTGATCAGGTTGTACATTTTCTAAGTAGCTATGCATCTAAATTTTGCAGCACAACCGAACTTCACTTTTTGCTGATGGAATTCACTTATCCTGGGGGCTTTATAAATAAAAACAATGGAATTACATCTCTGTGGCTTCTTCAGATGAAAAAAAAAAACAGTCGATGCAGTAAACCATGCACTACATATATTTATCATGTGTATAAGCTAAGCACACATTCGCCATATTAAATTTCGAAATTATCCATTTCTGTTTCAATGGTTTGTTCAAATCCCGGCGCAAAGCGCGGGCAAAGAAAGCTAGTATATATAATGGCCGCCTACAAACCCTAAGCCAGCAGTGGACGGTAATTAATCAAAGCTATAAAAGGCTAATTACAATCCAGCACACAAACTTCTAACAGCAATCACAGATGAAAAGATTGAGAAAAGGTCAAAATCCTCTCCGTGGTCAATAAATAGCTGGCATGCGGGATAAGTTAGCTTGCTAACCCCATAAAGGGGTTGGAAAAATGACACCCCCTTGATATTAAATGTAATCTATATATTTTAATACTCATATTAAATACACATAGGGAATTAAAAGCACCATATTAATTACTTTTTTTTTAATTTAAACCTACATTACATACAATTCTCTCTCTCTATCTCTCATTCTTCCTTTTTTGAGCAGCCTCCGAGCACCACACTTCTCCGGTGAAATCCCGCCGGCAGACTTCCTCCGGCCACCCTAAAAAATGTACCAATACATTAAAAAAATGTACCAGTGCAGTGATACGTTGTACCACTGCACTGATATTTCTACTACTACATTTAAACTCAGATATGATATTTGTACTAGTGCACTGATATCGCTCCCAGTATAGTGGTATCTCTACCAGTGCATTGGTAACGCTACTAGTGCACTGGTACAAAATATCATATATGAGTTTAAGTGCAGTTGTACAAATATCAGTGCAGTGGTACAAACATCATAACTGAAAAATCGAAAAGTCAGATATGAAAAATCATAAATCAAAAAATCATAACGGCGGAAGCATGATGAGAGGGAGGAGAGAAGAGGGATTATTTACTTTTTTTAGAGAGAGAATTGTGTTTAGAATAGGTTTAAATTTAAAAAAAGCAAATAATTAATATGGGATATTTAATTCCCAATGTGTATTTAATGTGAATGTTAAATTCTACAATTTTCATTAGTACTTACCAAATGATTGAGGAAAATGGACCAATAAAAAAGTGGGTATAAAAAATCAAACCCTTTTAAGAGTAGTCACCATATCCTACCCCTGGCATGCTCCAAATAAAACGTTGGTAGCTTCGGAACCAAGAGATCCAAACTGGCTACTGAGACCATGCAGCTCAATTCTATAATCTTCACTGTGCAATTCGGATAGGCCCCAACAAAATGGTTGAGTCTATTTTATTATTTTGCGTCGTTAGTTAATTTGAATAGAGATTTTTTACATCAATTAGTGGACGTGCCGGAGTGGTTATCGGGCATGACTAGAAATCATGTGGGCTTTGCCCGCGCAGGTTCGAATCCTGCCGTCCACGATTTTTTTAACAATCTTTTTGACAGTTACTCCAAAAGAAGATAATTAAGCATGTCAAAGAGCAAGTCGCCCAGCTCTGTGAATAACATCTAGGTTCAGCATTACCAGAATCCTAACCTCATCATGTTTAAATAACCTAAACCTTCATACTCAAAACAAAAGCAGCCACCATCAATGTTCTACTGCTGTAAACATTCAAGAGCATTTGCAGGATTCCAGCAGCTAACTAAACAAGAAACCATTTCGCAAAGAACTTTGCTCTGTTTGACTCGCACTGACAGCTTAAGAAGCTATTCTACTTAAAGTTACATAAAAGGAAGAATTAAATTTTTTGGTTCTTCACAAAATGATTCTTTAACCGAGTACTTGACAACTTTGAACCGTAACCCGTCTGTGTCCACAATCACGGACTCCAATATCCCGAATGGAGATGGCTGATCTTCCAGAAAACCAGAAATCTTCCTTGGTCCCTACAGAGAAACATAGATGAACTTAAAACGTATGGCAATGACTGCGCAAAGGGACCAGTCACATAATGCAAGCATAAGATCAAAGTATTACCTGAATTTCATAAGTATCTAGCTTCAAAGACTTTGCATCATGCAAACCTTGGAAGAAAGAGTGGAAATATTGCTGCACCTCTCCTCTGTGGTACTCCCGATCGGTCCACCAACCCGTGGGATCAGTAATGTCTGCATGATATAGGGGTGTGATAAACTGAAAGCTTTTGAGTTTCGGCGCAAATATTTCAATCTCGAAACATTCCATCCCATCCAACTCCAGGCTAAGCAATTGGGGTCCGTGTACCTTGATAACTGGCTGTGGACCAATACAACGCATTTTACTCATAACCAAATTCATCAGGCACGGGAAGTTTGAGATAAGATCGATATCCGGCTCGTAGTGATCAAGAGTATCCAGATGGCAACGGAACATATTCAATGTTGTCAGCATCGGAAAAACGGAAGATCTGACTCTGCCACAGAGGATGATATCTCTCAATTCTAGGCTTTTCAGATTGCAATTCGAGATTGAGCCAAACAAACGGGGAAATTCGTAAAAACGGTCATTTCCCGCGTCGAGCACTAGCTGTTGAGTGTCATGGGATAATGCATATTTGATCACCCTCCCAAACGTGATCTTATCTATAGCATCCAGCGGCTCTGCATTGAGGGCATAGCTAACCCTACGGACACTATTTTGACAGCGGGAGGACAATACCAGACGCACAAACCTTTTGAAAGTCAAAACATGTGCGAAGGAATCTCTACGAAAATGGAGTACAGGAACATGTTTCCAAGTGGACCTCCAAACTCGGGACAATACAGCGGTTTGAACAGCAGATTTGGTGTCGAGGAACGAAAGGATGTGAGAAAGAATGGGTTGTGGAAGATGGCTTAACCTGTCAGTAGCAGCACTAGTTGTATTTCCCTCTTCTTCATCATTTTTCCGGCGCCTCTTTGCAGCTTTCCTTAACTCGCAGCTGCCCCTGTTCCTCATAGCCTTTTCTGCTGGGTACAGAATGCTCGCTGCTGCAAATCCGAACTGCTCACTCCGGCGGCCGCAATCGCTGGAGACTGAAGCTGAACTAAGCTGTCGGGGGCTACTGGATTAGAAAGCTATGGACATTTTCTCTGATTTAGACTAACTCCAACCCTGAAAGGGGAATTTAGCTCCCCAAATGGTCAAATATGGCTTTTTAGCTCCCCAAACCCACTTTTCACTCCAACCCTATAAAAAGCTAAATTTAGCTTCCCATTTCCATTTTTCAATTTATTTCAATAAACCATACTTATTTGACCTCTAATTTTTATATTTCACTTTAATTTTTTCATAACTCGTTATTAGTTTTGAATACAAATTTTTCGATGTAATTTTTTTTTAATTCCGAGATAATTTTTTTTTTTAAAAATTAGTCGTTAAAATATTACCGTTAAAACTTCGGACGCCAATTAGGTCCTCTCTTGCCTGTCATATTTCTATTTTGAGAGACGATAACAATTGAATTTTGAGAGAATGCGATTTATGCTCTGAGAATGAGTGAAGAGAAATCTATGAAGAGTGCTGTAATATATAAGAAAAAATATGGCCGTTAAAATATGACCGTTTTTTATGGCCGTTATGACCGTTTTTTATGGCCGTTAAAATATGACCGTTTTTTCGTCACTACATCAATTAAATTCCCAACCAACAAAAACAAAAGTTAAAAGAAAAAAAAAAACAGTCGGCTGGCGGGGGAGGGCCCAGGCGCGCGTCATGCGCCCTCCCCCGCCAGCAGACGTTGTATGCACTTTTTGGCAGCCAATTTTCACTTCCCATCCCAAAACCCAGCCAAATTTAACTCCCAAAAACCAAATACCCATATTTTGCTTCCAATTTTTTTTGGGTTGGAGGAGGAAAAAAAGCCAATAGCATTTTAGCTCCTTGGGTTGGAGCCAACCTTAGGGTTTCATAGAAAATGTGCAGGGAAATTGGGAATGGATTTGAACTCAATTTTTGCGGGGTTTATTAAAATTTTACCACCTTTTTTCGAGCCTATACAAATTTTGAACAAGAAGAACGATAAACGATTTTTTGAAGCTTCGCCTATCTAATCTTTTTTGGGCTTTGTGATCTGTGGGCTCGACTGTTGGATATAAGCGCAGACTACCAAAAAATCTATAAGCCCGTATGTTCCCCAAATTAACATGGCACCAGCCACCAAGTCACCAACTTCTGGTTATGCTGGTTTAGCCATGGTTATAAAAACAGAATCGGATCAACAACTGGACCAGTAGAATCGTCAAAATAGTTATGATAGTGGTCTGGTTCATTGTTTGGACGATTATTGATGGAGCAAACGATATTTCACGGTTCAACATAAAACCAGATGCCACCACGGTTTAACTGGTCCACTGGTTCACTATTTTAACCACATATTTTAAAAAAAAAATACTTTAACGTAAACTAAGACCATCAAACCATAATTATTAATTTTATATTTGCTTACTCTTCTCATTTTCCAATATTGATGTCGACTTTACGTTGTCCACTACCGACTGACATCGTAATTTTTAATTTGAATCATCCAATAATATATGGTAGAGTTTTGTGAATTTTTCTCCATTCCAAATTTCCTGCAACGAGAGTGAAAGTAGGAAGGACATTTTTGTCTTTACCATTAAATATTTATCTCATATAAAAATATCAATATGAGGATTCGAACCCGGGTCTCTTAAAAGAAAGACAACAATTACAACCAATTACACTAAACAAATTTGTTGTATTTTTTTTAGTACAAGGCATACACAAAGTTAGACTCTGAAAATTGGATGAATTTCCCATCATGATTACCAAGCCCACTAAGTCTACCGTATATATTTTTATGGTGCTTGATACTTTAGTTTTCATAGTAGCTAGAGTTTCATGTAATTTTCTCAATTTTAAATTTTTTGCTCTCGCCTTAATTTTTTTGCTAAAGGTAGATTGGTAATTGGCTACCATAGAAGAAACTAATTATGTTACTGCGTGTTGTATCCTTGAAATTTTCTTTTTTTTATCTTTGTTCTTATCTCTTTTAACTTCCTCCAAAATTTCCTCTATCGTGCAATAGTTTACGCCCCTTTCACTTTTCAATACAAGGCCGCCTTTGAAATCAATCTTTTGGTATCTCTTGGCACTACGATTTTATTATTGGGGATTTAAGCTAGGCAAGTAGAAGATTTCAACTCCGATATCAATCCATGACAAATAGAATGGAGTTCAATAAATGGAGTTGTAGAAGGAGGATTAGAGATTGAATTTTTTATTGAAACATATGTCTCTTGAGATAAAAATTTGGTTCTACAACAGAGAGTGGTGACTATTGGACCTTTAGGTTTATGGTTTTTGCAGCTAGGTCGATTCTTTATTCAACCTACTGGAACTGATAGATACGGAGTGTCTAATTTTGTGTCTTATTACGTCGATCGAGTTTATTAGCATATTGGAGGTAACCCTAATTTTGTCGTTTGCTCTCAAGTTTTATTGGTCCCCTCTTAATTGGGTTGTTAGTATATAGTTGACTTGAATCAACAACTCTCCATTTCTTTTTGATTAGTGACATATTGTTCCTAAGGAGAGCATTGAACCCTTTATGTAGGATTGTGAGGTTTAAAATCGTGTTTCAATTTTCAAACTATCTATGACGTGTGGGAATTCCAATGAGCTTTTGTACTCTATCTTTCTTGACAATCAACTAACCAATAGCATTTTAATTGGGGCTTAATTATCATTATAAAAATGAGATCAATCATTTTTATATTTTATATTCTTATTTCTCCAAAAGTTCGACCTATATATTCTTTCTTTATATATCATCTAGATCGAAGAATTGTCAATAAAATTAAATGGGTTGATAGACTTAAATGTAACATAAAAATACAAGTAATCAAATATGAACATTCCGGCCAACGGGCCGAGTTATATGCTAGTTAAAAAAATTATGATTTCTTTTGTGAGAGTGTTTGAATGATTTATTACATATTTTGATGATGGTATGAATTTGAAATTGTTATGTTCAATGATAACTTCATTCTTAAGTTAGTGCAATATACAAGTCTTGTATGTTATATATCATGAACGGTTCTACCAACGATTTACCAACGGTTTTGTCACGGTTAACTACTGAACGCTAAACCAATAACTTTTCCAGTTCAGCCTCAGTCCAGTTCTGAAAACAGAGGGTTTACCAAATCATAAAGAATTAATACTCGATTAACGATTAATTGATTAATAACCGATAAAGATTGTTATCCGCTCAAAATAGATAAAATACTAAATTCAACAAAGGAAACAACTTCCTCTTGATCACTTAGCTAGCACTCACTGACTCCAATCTACTCATCTTCTTAGCTCAAACAAAGAACAAGATGAGCGAAGAGGTTATGCAGCAAACGACGGATCATTGATCGTCATGCTAACGACCCTCTCTTATTGCTTCCATATTAGATCGACATGAGGATGATCGAGATAGAGAAGTGACGATGGTTGGCCTCAATTTGCCGCCATTGTAAGCCCTCCTCTTCTATTTTATTTGGACAAAGAAGAGTGGAGAAGAGCTGGCAACTAGGGTCGATTGTTCGAGCGTGAAGGAGAATAAGGTGAATTTTCTTATGTTTATGATTCACAGAGAAAGTGAATTTCCTTTTTAATATACAGAGAGAAAAAGAAAGAGGCGAGAAACAAGAATGAAGAGAAGGAAAGTGTGGCTAGGATTTATTAAGGTTCAAGAAAGCGCAGGTGTAAGGCGAGCGTTGAGGCTCTGTCTTGCGCCTAACATGCTTAGGCGTCGCCTAGACATTCCTAAGCGTTAGATGTGAATGTAACAAAATATCTCACATTTGTACAGAATCACAAGTTTTTTAACAAATATCATCGCATTTACCTTTAATTTCTAAACCTTCATCAACAACACATGGTGAAACATAAAACATAGTGTGGAGAAATAAGGAAGAAGAAGCTTAAAAATAGAGAAAGAGATTGAGAGCGAAGAAGCACAAAAAAGAAAGAAGAAGCTACTCTATAGATGGTCGTCTCTAGCTATATCTTAGCCTAACTATAGAGAAATCAAGACCGTCCTTACTAGTAGTGTATCAAAAGGTAGAAAAAAGACATCGTGGCATAATTTTGAGACACAACTCAATGTTGACTAGGCGCCACTGAGGCCGCAACATGATCTTGATGCCTTCTCCACTACTTTTTACCAAGGCAAGACATTTTCCTTCTGACTTGTGCGTAGGCGAGGTTAGACGAGTGCCTAGGAGCGATTTTTTGAACCATGGGATTTATACTACCCATCACTCCTTATACATTTTCTAAAAGAACAGTTATGCTCCTTACCTTTTGCTAAATCCACAAAACCTACCACCGTTCTCTCTCACGCATCACGCAGATAGACAATTAACTACTAATCACATCGACAGATAACCACTAATCGACCCGACTATCACCCCAACTACTAACACCATCAACAAACCAAATTTTGATTTAGATAATCATTCAAACTAGTAAAGCTGCCCATTCAATCTAGTAACCAAGTAGTCGGATTAGGATACCTTAACCATAGAAACAAAGAGAATTTGAGCTGAAAATCAAGTCCGAAAACCAAATTAAACGTCTGGCCTAACCAACTATTACCGGAAAGGGTTCTGAAATCCATCCCGGAAAGTCCAGACACCCCCCCCAGACAGGGGAGCTGTTGCTTCTGCTGGGCATCGGCGAGCTATGATCTTGCCAACCATTCCAGACAGAGGATTCTGGAGTCGGGCTTCAGCCTCGGTGACCAGGCCGTGCGAAGCTTCTCGATAGGGAACTGCTCAAACAGCCGGGCGACCAACCCACCACGGTAGACACCGTCGACCTTCTCCAAGTATTTTGAGCCCTCTGGGAAGTGTGGAGCGTAGATGCAATCCTCCCTGCATTCACGCCCCTCAAACTCTCAAACTGTGCACCTCTCCATTTGATGTCACTCACTCATTATGGAGAAGTTCAGATGCCCTGCATTAAGTCAAAGAATACCTTGGAGCAGAAGTCGAAATGTTGCTGCATCTAAACTTGTCCCTTGAAGATTGCTCATCCTGGATCCCTGTTCACCACAATACCTGAATCATCGCATGATCTAGGCGAGCGGGTTAACTTGGAGAATCCTTGTAAAGACAACAATTAAGACACAGCCGAAAATAGAGCTGAGTATTACACGATCCAAATAGAAAATTGACGATATACAACATCAGACTCCTTCCTCCAATATAATCACTGGAAACAAGGACGATGGTGACTATGGGTGCAGATATTCATCTCTTAATTTCCACATGTTCTCTTGGTTCCTTCCGAGAGAACCCATTAAAAAAGGGATCATTTCCACATGTCGAATTGCATAGCAGTTGCATAATAGGAGCAAATCTAAGAATATCTGAACACTCCAAGTCCAGAAAACCACTAAAGAAAAGAAAGCATTCATACAGACACGATATCATCAAAGCCCCGAAGTAGAAAGGAAAGACAGGAAGGTAAGCAGAGTTGGGAACTTCTACAACCAAATTCCTAAACTACATTCATAAAGGAACAAACAGTCTCTCCATAATCTTTCTTTCACCAACCGAGTAAGCAACCTATCAGTCAGAAAGTCCAAATTAGCGTGTTCACATCGTAATCACCGTTTCTTTGCCCCCAAGTTTTCATTTCCCCTATGTCTCTATATAAACAATCAAATGATCATTTCCTCCATAACAGACCAACTTCATTGCAGTGCGAAAAGAGGAAAAGAGAGCAACTTGAATCATACCCAAGAGAAGTTCAACGAGGATGACTACTACTCCTGCTGCTATTGGGGAAATATGGGTAATTTCATTTCACGGGCAGGGGCATCTCCTACCGACCTTCGAACTCTGCCAGCAATTCCTCTCCCGGAAGCTCAAAACCACTCTGTTCGTCTCCTCCCGCGTCTCCTCCTCCATCCCTCCCCCTCTCTCCGCCGACCAACTCTTCCACGTCGTCGAGACCCCGCAACTCCCGCCTCCTCCTCCACCGTCGCCTGACACCGGCGACCATTTCCACCATCGCATCCAGCTGGAGCGCGTCCAGATGGCTGAGTGCCTCCAAAAGTTACTCGCGATCCGCGGGGCTAAACCCCTCTGTGCGGTCGTCGACCATCTGAAATCCTGGGTGGGTTCGATTCTTCACGAGCTCGACATCCCGGCGATTGGGTTCTTCACATCGGGAGCGTGCTCGGCGGCGATGGAGCACGCGATGTGGAAGGCGGGGTCGGCTGATTTGGGAGAAATCGGAAACGAAAGCCGTTTGCTTCCCGGCTTACCAGATCACATGGCGGTAACGGGATCTGACCTCAAAAGAAGACCTTTTGGGCACTCTGGAAGGCGGCACCCATCTCCACCACCGCAGCCCATTGGGCCGCCACCTCCTAGCCCAGAATCTGAGCTCCCGAAACCACCCATGGGCCGGAGAAGGAAGGGTCCACCTGCGCCCGGTGATCAACCGCATTGGTTCCAAGAAATGGATGGATTTGCCCAGTACCTTTACAACACGTGTCACGAACTGGAGTCCCCATTCATCGAGTACCTCAACGAAGCTTTTGGCAAACCAGTTCGGGCCGTTGGTCCATTGCTGCCAGACAAATACTGGAAATCGACGAGGATGGGTTCAGCGTTCCGGGATCAGGAAGTACGAGTGAAACGAGAGACAAATGTGAAGGAAGAGGAGGTGATCGAATGGCTGGATTGCAAACCGGCCGGATCAGTGCTATACGTATCATTTGGCAGCGAGGTGGGTCCGACGATAGAGGAGTACTCAGAGTTGGCTGAGGCGCTGGAAGCATCGAACCGACCATTCATCTGGACAATCCAACTCGGTTCCGGCCCTTTTGGTTCTAAGTTTAACTCGGACGAGAACCCGGAGCAAGGATTTTACCCACATGGTTTGCAGGAGAGAGTGGGGAAGGGGAGAGGCTTGATCATCCACGGGTGGGCGCCACAGCTGCTGATCTTGAGCCACCCTTCTACTGCAGCGTTCTTGTCGCACTGTGGATGGAACTCGACCGTGGAGGCCATTGGGTGCGGGGTCCCCATACTAGCATGGCCAATTCGAGGTGATCAATATCATAATGCCAAACTTGTGGTCAAGCATTGGGATGCTGGTGAATTTGTAACAGATGATTTCTCAAAATCGGTCAGCAAAAACGACATTGCTCGAGGCATAGAGGATATAATGCGCCAGGAGGAGGTGAAGAAAAATGCAAGAGCCATTAGTGTCAAGCTTGAGAATGGCTTCCCTATCACCTCTACGGATGCTTTGAATGCTTTCAGGGACTCAATTCTGAGGGCTGCCAATTCCTAATGCTGCAAACCTACTTATTGCTATGTACCGAATATGCAGTGGCTTCTATTTGTACTTGTTTCTTTTTCACTATGATTCGAAATCATACTACGATTTCGGTTGAAGGATCAAATATGTTTTTATCTCATTATACTATCATGGGTTTCTTACGATTGTCAGGGTCTCAGGGAAATACATGTACTACTAGTTTCTTTTCTTCTACCTCCATCTTGCGACTTCTGCACGACCTTAAATTAAGCCGACTCGTTACCCTACAGAGATCGACTGTCCCATAGAAAGCAGCTGCTGGTAACTACCAAACAGTAACCTACTGCCGATTAACCAGAAAGAGCTAACAAAACTGTTGATTTTTATCTAGATGGGAACCATGATTGGTAAGCTAAAATAAGATTAACAGCTTCCTGGTTCATAAGATCAGATGCACAATAGTCGTTCATAATTGTGGGAGACATTTTCCATGAAAGACTTTCTATAGGAAATGTAATTAGGGCTTAGCAGTTGCAGAACTGTTATATGGAAAACATAGTTTAAGTACCACTTTGAAGTCTAAATAGCAAGTTAAGCTATATAAACTAAACCTGGGACTACTCAAGGTTCAAAAGGAGCTTCAGCTAGATGAAATCTAATCAAAACAGCAGTACAATCCCTCAAATCCAAGTGAACCTAGTTCTACTTCTCCAAGTTCCTGCAGAGGAACAGTGTATCAGTACCACAGGTCATAGATGTAAGGAGTAACTGCCAACTATAGACTAAGGAAGAAGAATAAACACTCGAGCACATAAAAAATACATAACGGCTAAGCAGTAAGAATGGCAAAAGCAAAGGGGGAATGCATATAACATGTAGAAAGTAGAATGAGTAAGCAAGCTGTGCAGGACAAAATAGCATGGTGATACAAAGATTCTTAAAATACACTGGAGGCAAGGCTCAGTCAGAATCCATCAAAGGCAATAACCTAAAATGAAAGTATTTTCAGCCTTCAATCATCTACACAAACTAAAGACATCCTGGATTTGCACAGGAAGAACCCTTGTTGAAGCAATAGAACTTTATTACTGTATAGAGTTAGCAGGGCTCCTCAGTGCAGGTAAATGGGCAAGGTTGATGCTCCATCATATCACAGAACTGACTAATTGCCTAATTCTTTTGTTTCTTTCTGCAGCAGAATCAAGCTACTGCTTCTATCGAGTTCCTCGTTATCATATCAAGTGGTAAAAACTACATCCACATTTCAGCTTATCCAAGCAGCAAAAATTAGAAAGATAATTCATATGGCCAGTACCATAATAGCATAGGCCAAGGGCAAAAGGTCCACGAGAGAAACAGGGTCCGACAAACAAAAGGTTAAGATGATGATTCATTTTGAGAAGCACCTATAATTGAGGCGAGACAATGCTTAGGGTACTTACTTCCAAAGTGAGGGCAAAAGGATCAGCACAGATACAAGCTCCTCTCACCATCATAACTCCAAACAAAAGAAAAGAGGTTCCCACTTAAAGCTTACATGCAGGAAAAAACAAGATAACAGACTTCTACCAATGTTGCCAATGCAAGGCCAAAAGAATCAAGCAAAGATACAAGGATCTCAGGGGAAATTGGCAAGGGACCGAAAAACAAGCGAAGTTGAATCACTGCAGTTGTAAGTACTGCACGAAAAAACGTTCCCACTTACGCTTACACGAATTACCTAGCCAAACTACGAACGTTGACAAGTTACAGATGATAATATTGCGAAGCACATGATATAGTCAAAACAAGGAAAGTGGGTTTTTGTGAATTACCTAACCAAACTCAATATATGCTTGTTCGCCGGTGGAAGAGCCTCCTAGGAAGTAACTTATCACATGGTATGGCAACCTGTACGGGCAATTAATTCGAGACACAGCTACTTTCAATGACTTCAATCTAGTAAAGGGGCAAGACTGATGCTCCAACAACTCGCAATTCTTGCACAGTAACTACATATAGTGAAAAGACAAATTAATCCATAGAGTAATTGGTGCAAAAAGACCTATCTCAAAGTTAGGAAATATACCTTAAAGAGGCCATGATTGATTTCCAAAATACTCGCATTTTGCAGACCTTGTAACAAGCTGATATAACAAGCCCTCATCTCTTCCATGTTCCTTTCATCAAGGCATTTGTCATGCACAGAAATATCAGCATGATCAAGGGAGGGAAGCCTTAAGTTGTACAATCTTGGGGAGTTCAAATGATCTATGTAATCGAAGAACGTGAGTGTTGGTGCAAATATTTCCAACTTAGAGCAATCAAGTTCGTATATCAGAAGTTTAACCAGTCGGGGTCCAAAGATCTTGAAACCGCATTCCCTATCTTCCAAGAAACAGTTACACAGTATCAAATTCTCCAAGCAAGGGAAGTTAACAAAAGGATCAAGGTCAGCTCCAGTGTCACAAGGCAGCAAGCACTCATCCAAATCCAAAATGGTCAGCATCTTGAGCCCACATGATCCAAATCCACTTTTCAGAGTGGCTCGTCTTAACCTTAGAATTCTCAGATCGCTATTAGCTAAGGGAACGAACAATTCGGGCTCAAGAACCTCATCGTACGGCACACAAACATTTAAATGTCGACAGCCGTGAGAAGCAGCAAAATTCACAACCCTGTCGAACAGATTCTTGTCCATCGAGAAATCAAAGTGCAAGTAGACGATCTCTTCGACGTCACGACCTTCAGGACGGCGGGACAAGACTTCCTCGACGTACCTGGCGAAACTGGAAGGGGTGAGGCAGCTGGTGCTGAGAGTGAGACTCGGAACGCGCTTCCATAGGGATCTCCACCTTCTGGAGAGGACAGAGGTTTGAGCCGAGAGCTTGGGGCAGTCCAAGAAGGAGAGAACGTGGTGAAGAATATGGTCTGGAAGACTGCTCAATCGATCGAACTCGATTTGGCGTTCTTCCGCTTCTCCATCTCCGCGAATCTTCTTGTTAGGGTTTGGGGTAGACATTCTGCTGCGTCGCTGCCTCTTCCCGCCGGGAAATTATTGGAGATGTGGCTTCGTCAGAATTGGAAAAACAGGCAGCGAACTGAGCAGCAGAAGGACTGCTTTCCCCGTCGTCGGAACTCGGAATAGGAAATTAGAGATGCTGCTCGCACTCCCGTTCAAACGGACGGTTGGACTCCGAGCATATATAGTAGGGTTTATTTTATTGAATTTGGTTTGAGTTGGAAGGATCAACAGTAACATTTATAGCTGAAAAGTAAAACTGCACACTCCATTCAAATTTTTCTGCCTGTAAAGTGAATTTAGGAAGCTGACGTGGCAGAGTGTTTAGGCGGGAGTAATGTACAGATCCCTCGCCCAGTGATAATAAGTCTTTCTCCCACTACCTTTTTCTATTGGTGTAAACACTTCTCTCTCTCTCTCCTTTTGGAATCGCCATCGTGGTATCGATCGTGAAGGGAGTTCGATACGGCAGATGATACTGAAATTTTGAGCGTTCGTTGAAGAGAAAAGGGGAAAGCAAATCGACGGTCGTTTCTACACTCTCCTTTAACAATCAAACTTTTCTGCGGATTCCAGGCTACACTCCTCGATGACGTTGTCTCGATTTCTTCATTCCAGCCTCTTAACGCCGTCTAGAGATGCTCAATTTCTTCTCTTTCGATCGATTGATGCTTGGCCAAGATGGGTCACCGATTGTCCATCTCTCCTTCTCTCTCACTGACATAAAACGAGAGAAGACATAGAAGAAGAGCAACAAGGAGGAGAAGAAAATGAGGAGGGGTGTCCAAACCCGTACATCAGCATCGAGGTTTCGGCAAGGGACAGAAGAAAGAGGCAGTTGCGGGAGGTGGCCTCGATGGAGTTCAAGTCGAGGTTGGAGAAGACGGCAGCGAGGCATCCGTCCTGCAGGGAGAGGGTGGTGGGGATGGTTTTGGGTTTTGCTTTTTCCGTTAAAGGAAGGAAGGGTTGGAGTCTACTCTTGGCGGCGTCGGCGGTGAAGGTGGGGCTGCAACAGGGGGTGATGGAGCAGGATGGAAAATGAGTTGCTGATCTTGATCAGGTATGGATGCGAAGCCGATTTCTGATCTCTTTTTTGCTTTTGATTCTTAGTATTCAGGGTTTTTGGTCACTTTTATGTCTCTGTCTCCCTATCTCTTGCTCTGGATCGAAAAAAAAGAAGCATAGAGAGGAAAGAAAGGCCCTCTAGGAGATGACGTGGACGACCAATCTTCTTCTCTTCTCCTGTGAATCGAAAAGCTGACATAGGTGGTCATGGGTGACTACCATCTTCTTCTCTAATAGAGATCAGAAATCGTACCCCCAGTGAGATCAATGATGGCGACTGCATTTTGGATTCATTGATGGTGGCAGTAGGGTTTGGGTTTTGGAGGTGGAGATTGGGTGTTGTTTGCGGTTCGATCTCATTGATTGGCCCCGCTTCACGCTGCAAGGCGGCAAGACACGGCTGCCAACTTCCTTCTAGATCTATGATGGAGGTACGTACCTCTGTTTCTTTCGAATTACTATAAAATGAGATTCGGGTTTTCTCTTCTCTCCCATGGGGGTCTATGAGAACTTAATCTTGGTTATCGGTTCTGATTTGCTGAGAGAGAGGAAGAAGGACCTTTGATGATCTATTTGTGCTTTCTTGAACTGAATGTTAAGGCCTTTAGGTGTTTTGGATGTCAAATTCTTTTCCTTCTGTTCATACCCAAAGGGAATGGGAGGGAATGACGGCCCAATCCTGTTGTGAAGGAAAGTGAGTTATGGTGAATGATTGTGGGAGAATGGGGATTAGGAGGTTCCTTCTTTTGATTAGTGGATGACTCTTTGATTATGCATAATATTTCATGGAGATTGGTGATCTATGAAGTTGACCATGATCTCTAGCTCCTGTTTGTTTAATCATGATGATAAATGATGTATTCAGTGGGATCCCCAAAAGCTGTTGTTTGTTATTTTTTGAGAAGCTATTTATTATAGGTTGATGTATAAGATAATTCGTACACAAGTACACGAAACAGGGACAAGGGAGTAAATGTTTTCCTTTTATTGATCTTGCACGGATCAAACAAGTGAGTAAATGTTGGCCAACTTGCTTGGTCTAATGCTTTCACAATTGGATGAGACATCTGACATTCCATGCTTAAGAGATACAGGTCAGTTTTGGGTGTGACTTCTCAGGCTGCTTGAGCCACTGCTAATCGCTTTCTGGTTTGTTGTACTGGTGATGCGGTGGTGCATAATGTTTATTGAAATCCATTCGACTAAAAGCTACTATATCCAGTTTCAGGTTTGTCAGCAAGTATTCAATGAAGAGTTCATGTTACTCATAAAATTTAGCAGGTAACCCATAATGTGTTTGGTTGGCCAACTCGCTGAAATAAGTTCTATGTTTAGTCATTCTTAAGGATACTGCTTTAACTATGCTTGGTGCTGAATGCTTAGTTGATTACTCTTTTAAGTAGTGAAGTAATTGAATGTTTGGTTGTAATTCTATAGGAAGGGTTTAATCATTCTATAGATTTGAAGGAGATACTGATCTTTTTCTTTTCCAGTAGGAGCTAGCATCTTTTAGTGGACATTTTCGCTTTCAACAAAGTTGACTCCATTTTGCATTTGCTAGAATCTTAAGCCATTATTTTTCCCTATTGATTACCGAAGGGTACTACAGTTACATATGGATGTAGCTTATTCAACTATATATAAGCTCTGTTCTCTATTAGTTTTACTTTTTTGGGTCAATTGCTTTTGGTAGACGTAAAATTTGAACTCTGCTTAATTGTACATTTATTGTCTGATGTTCTTAAACCTGATCTTCTTGCTTCATCTCTTAATCATATTTATATTGTTTGATTTAGTTTCTCACTTCTATCAATATATATGCATTCAGATTCTCAATAAACTACTACCTATATTGAAATGTAAAGCTGATGACTAGAGGTGGTTCAAATTGTTTGGATGGTAAAAATCAATGTGTATTGAAGCCAGATTAAAGAAATTTTGACAAGGGAATGGGAGAGCATTCTGAAAGAAGTCTCAGCTGCATATATCCAGGTAACTCTTTTCCTTTGGTGATCGTGAGAATTGATGTTATTTCAGCAAACCGAGGCAGGGAACTCTGTTGTACCAGCTAAATATAGATAGCAGTTAGGATTGAAAACAAGCTATAATCATATAAAAAAATTGCTGTTATTTCATATGCAAGTATTTAGATTATTGAGGTGCCATGATTTTGTTTTTCTATGCATAGCTTGGACCTATATGTATGTTTCTCGATGACCTTTTGCTAAATGAATATTAAGAATCTGTTCTTCTCAACCTGAGTCATTACGTTCCTCCCATCCCTGAAGGTGTCTTGATCTCTAGCCAATCGTTTTAACCACTTCAATCACCCTCTCCTATTAATCAACGCTAAACTGTGGGGTGGGGGTGGGGGGTAAGGGTTGGTTAAGCTTTGATGCACAAAGGGTAATCAGGGAACATAGTTTGAGGAATCCTTTGTTGTGGTCGGCAAATCTTGGGGGATTTCAACTTCGTTCAGGGGGTGAGGGAACTGGTCTCAATGCCTCGATTAGCGTTGGAGTCGTTCACCACTAACCGGTGACTTCGGAGATCGCTTCGAAAGCTGAGATTCCAAGTAAGTTGTCATTCCCCAGCTTTTTATATTCGATTGAGGGTCCAGAGAGTGCTTATGATTAGAGGTTGTATTGGCTGCTGGGAAGAGGATGCTGAGGGAAGAGTTGTTCTCTTTTGTTTGAACAAAGCAATGAAAAAGGGGGTTGGACCCTCTTATCGTGGAGACAAACTGCAAGAGGATGCTGGACTTGCTACAGGGGACTACTGAGTGCATAACAAAATCCTGGAATATTTACAGAGACATCAAACAGATGGGCTTGCAATCTGATGTAAGAAGTTTGACCTTTGTTCACATACAAGCAAACGTAGTGGCACACTCTTGCTCATTTTAATGTTCCTGTAAACTCTTTTAACTTTCTATGGAATGATTATGTATGTGCTGGGTTGCGGATATTGTATCCTTTAAGACATGTGGCGATTGATTTTCTTTCAACGAAGGCTTTTGTAGTTTCCTCTAAAAAGAAGATAGACGCGGCCATGCAGGACAATCAATCAAAACCTTTGATTTGGGGTTGGCCGATGAATGCTTTTTCTAATATATTATTATGTGAATGAATTTGATAATTTTGCGACTATTTGCTACAAAGTAATCCTAATTTCTGACTTACTCTTTTGTTTTTGCATATGGATTTGTAGGACAGGAAATTTCATTTGGATTGGGTTGTATGAATAATGGTTGTATCTTTGTTGATTCCATGACTTTTAGATCTCCTAACTGTTATTATTGATGTTTTACATGTTGAATTTTAGGAATAACAGTATTGAACATACCAGACGCGTATTATCCATGAGTAGCCGAAAGCCTCAGGCATAGGGATAGAGTTGCAAAACCTCCCTCCCATGAATATATGGTGGGTATGGTTAGAATATCTAGAGATGAGGATGTGGAAGTTCTCCCTTAACCCGCTTATTACCATCCCTAATTGTGTTAGAAGGTTTAATGCCTATAACAGAACATGAAATCGAAATATGTATATGGTTTCACTAATAAAATTGGTATTTGTTTAAATGTATTGTTATCCAGCGTCTTTGGTAATTTGTTTGGGTCAATCTATTCCTATGACTGTATTTGGGATTGTGATGCTCAAATTGTTTATGTGGTGTAGTGGTTTATATCTTGGTTCGGGAAGTTGAATGAACTATCATGTGTTTGACAAACTTTATTTTGAGTGTCATCCTTGAACTATATGATGGTTTTGTATCTCCTATGGAATATGATGCTGAATCACTGTCAAGGCTGTGCATGTGTTATTCCTAATGTTTTGCAACAAGTAATCGTATGTTTGAGACACGTCGTGGTATATCTAATAAAAATATAAATAAATGTGTAGAAGATCTTCCATTTTTGTCATTATAATAATCTTGAGCTATCCTCATGAGTTAAATGAAACTTTTAGGTCTACAATTATTTTTTGACAAAGATATTAGTTACTAATCGATTGTCATTTGTACTTTCTTAATTATAATAATTTTAGATGATTTTTTACCACAAAGTTTGAACCTAGCATGTGATTAATTTTTTCCTTCTAGATTACCATTAGGCCATCCTTTTGATTTCTAATTGTTACTTTAGTGAATAAATATTTTAGTTTTGTTAGAAAAAATTATAAATGCAAGTTAATAATTCTGAATCTTATGAAGAAATATTTTCCAGTAATTTATGCTGACAATAAAAAGTGAAAAAAATTCTACGAAAATATAAAAAACAAATACAACATATGAAATACTTGCATAAAAGTGTTCGACAACAAACTCTCATTGCGAGTAGTATCTCAACTGGCAATTTATAAATTATTAATATGCTCCTATGCAATTTTTTCACTTCCATCACACCCCACCGAAACCATCTAAGGTATGAGCAAGGCGAGATTCAGAAAGTTGAGTGACATATTACCTTTTTAAACATCATAGTTTGAGTACCTAATCAACAAAAATATCTATGAATTAACTACCGCTAATGACACAAACAACTAATAACACAAAATAACTTTCAAATCATTATAAACTACTTCGACAATCCTTAATCATTGCAAAGCATCGGTCATTTAACATTAATAAAAAAATAAAAGCCATCCGACCAACGGGTCGGGTAAAAACTAGTAATTTAGTAATCTTATAGCTTAAATTAGGGCGATAGAAGTAAAACTAGAGCGATGTTTAGCCATTTAGTTTTTTTTTTAATCTTTGGACCATAAATGTAGGATTATAATTTATGAAGGAATAACGGTTGGTTTGGAAGTGTTGATTGTGAAATAGATATATTGTTATGAATGTATGTATAATATTATGTATGTATTGTCGAATTTTATGCATTGTAAAATACAACGTTTATTATTTGTGATTGTGAATGTCACATCAGCTAAAAGTTGAGACAAAACAATATTAACTCGACAATCAAAACTAAAAGATGAGATATAACAATCACTCATTTTGAGTAATAGGTTTTGTGCTTGATACAGTATAGTGTAGGGTCCTCAATGCAATCAATTTCAAGAATTCCAATCAGGTAAAAAGGGGACAAGGTTGATGTTGCAATACGTAAACACATCTCGCGCATTGACTGGTTTTAGTTTCTTCGATCTTTGTACAGATCAAAGAAATCAGTGGCCTTGGTTTTCTCCTTATGGTCTAATAATGATTCAGGCTTGACAACAAAATGAGTTGCCAGGCTGACCAGCAGCAAGTCACGGAGATGTTGTGGCTAGTAGCAGCAGTACACAATTGCAGAGTACTTAAATATATAGTTCAACCTTTTGTTGTAAATTCAACAGTAGAACTGTAGAACCAGTTCTTCTCTAGCATATAATGTGGTAAAACTTCAAATCACATCCATCTTTGTTAGGAAAGATAATTCATTTGAGCAGCCTCATAATAGACCTATGACTAGGATTTCAGAGGGTTTTCACTTTCAAAGCAAGGGCAAAAGAATATGCAGACATGCAAGGACCCTCTTAATGAAATTAAGAAGGATTATAAAAACCAAGGTTCAATAATGCATTGAGCGTTGGGCCACTGCCTAGATAGCGTATAGCACGTCTAAGCGTTTCCTAGGCGACGTCTATTTGTTTTAGCAAAAGTAACGGTTTATAGCAGAAATAACAATTTTATAGCACGTTTTTACTGTAGTTCAATTTTTAATGTTATTGACTTAGCTAACTCTCAAATATAATCAAAATAAGTCCTGACCTAGAATTGTAATTCCAAATTGAGAAATGCATTGAATATAGGGCGGCTAGAGATGACGTCGTTTTGGGAAGATTAGCTACAATTCTTTTAATCTTTGGTCTACTAATGCAATTAACCGCAACTCACTTCAATTAATCATTGCCTAACACCGAATAAATTTGTCTATTTTTGTCTAAATGTCGCTTAGGTCTTATGAACGACTAATTGTCTGCCTATTACCTACGTGAAGCGCTTTGTAGGTACCCAATGCCTAGGCGCACCTAGGCATACATAGAATTACGTAATTTTGAACCCTGATATAAACAAAGCAAAGTTGAAACACTGCAATCTTAGGTTCACAGGAAAAACAAAAGTTTTCCACTTAGGTTAACATGAATGGAACATTAGATAGTTGACTTCTGCAAATGCTGCCAAGCGAAAAAGCTATGATAATAATGGTAAGGAACTGATATCGTCACAAGCAGGAAATTTACTACGTGAATTACCTTAGACAAATTCAAGATACGATGATCCACGGTTGGAGGAGCCACTCAGGAAGTAACTCATCACATGGTAAGGTAACCTGTCAGGCACGTAACCATCCACTATCAGAGACGTCAATCTGGTGAAGGGACATCACTAATTCTCCAAAAACTCGGAATTCCTTACCAGCAACTACAAATAGAGGAAACAAGAGTTAGTCTGGTAAAAGTAACAAGTTCAAAAAACTATCAAAACCCCACAGATTAGCAGACATTTTACCTCAAAGAAAGCAGTATTCATAAACAAAGAACTATCGTTGTGCAGAACTCGCAACAAACTGGTAGCACAAGCCATCATACCATCCTTGTTCCTTTTGACAAGACCGCGACATTTCACCCAATTATCAGCAAGCTCAAGTGAAGGAAGGTTGAATTGGTACAACTTGGAGTACTCCAATTCCTCCCACAAATCAAAGAATTTCAGATTCGGCGCATCTATCTCCAGCTTAGAGCAATCAAGGAAGCTAATTGCGAGCTTAACCAATCTCGGTCCGGAGATCTTAAAGCGACATGAGTTCTCTAATATGCAGCCACGCAGTACCAGTATTCTCCAAGCAGGAGAAGTTGGCGAAAGGATCGAGGACAACCAATTCATTTTGACCGGACAACCAACACTCGTCCAAATCCAAATCTCTCGGCATCGCGAACCCAGTAGATCCTAATAACTCGAGCCCCAGACACGCTCTCTAGGAACCAGAGTTCTGAGATTGCTATTAGCTAGAGGCACAAACATACTTGAATCGAGAGATCCAGCATCATGGGGAACACAAAGGCAGAACTGCTGACAGTCGCGAGACGCAGCGAATCTCACAGCCCTGTTGGGCAGTTTCTTGTCCGGCTTGTATTTCAAGTGAATATAGTCAATGCTGTCGATGTTACATTCTTCCGAGCGGTTGTACATGACTTCATTGACAATCATGGCGAAATTCGTAGGGTTGAAGGACTCATCGGTGTCGAGGATGAGACTGTGATCGTGCGTCCACAGGTACCTCCACCTGGTGGAGAGGACGGCGGTCTGAGCCGCGAGTTTGGTGGAGTCAAAGAAGGAGAGGATGTAGTGAAGAATATGGTCGGGAAGGCTTCTCAATCTATCGACATGGATTTGATGTTCTTCTGCTTTTGCTTTGATTCGAATCCTCTTGTTAGGTTTACGGGTAGGCATCACTGCTTCCAGAACAGCCTCTCTTCGCAGGAATTGCAGAAAACAGGCAGCCGATTGATCCCTGCGTTACTTCCACTCGAGAGTACAATCGGAGTTTCTATACCAAATGAGTGAAATGACAGAAGAACTTTGGAATATAATATTATAATAAATGGAATTATAATGAATGTTTTTCCATAGTTTTGGATTTTGTAGTAACGGATAAGCGAGTCAAAATGTATTAGGTATAGGTATTTAAATGGAATTTTTCTTTTTAGTCGTTGTAATCTTATACAACAACTTTTCGTGCCTTTTTATTGTTTGTTTTTTAGATAAACTAATCGTCGATCAACTGTAATTGCTTTTCTCACTCACTTTATTTATCAATAATAAAGAATTTCAGTTTCTAATATGGAAGGTAATGGATTTTATTTAATGTTTTCTCTTTTCACGCCCTTCAATCCACCGGAAAGTACCGAACTGTGCATGCAAATTACGTACTTATATTTAATTTTAATGAGTGGGTTGGCTGTGGAAATTTAGACATGAAAATTTGTCTCAATTTCTACTTTACAAAAAATTAAAAAAAATCAATGGTGAACGTTGAGCAAAATCTCTACGAATTACATAAATGTTATTAAAATTAAAAAATTTACCCCCGCTGCCAGCCCTCGATCCATTTGTCACTCTTTCCCTTGCCGCTGCTTCTCCTTCGAGCAAAAAAACCAGTGCTTGCTCCTCTTCTCCTTCGCTTGAAACAACCCATGCTGACCCCAATATAGTTATCCTACTTACAACCCTTCTAGTGAGTATATACACACACGAGCAAATGGTTGTCCACGTCGTCGAGACGTGATCGGAGGGTATTGAAGTAGTGGCGCCGGAATTTGAGGGTAGTGAGGCTGACCGGCTCAGCTGGCCCAAGCCAGTTCCAACTATCAAGAAAAGTGGGTCCACTTTTTCAAATTTTATCCACTTTCTCAAATAAATCCACTTTTTGACTTCTCTCTCCACCATTCTCTCCACTAGCTTTTTACCCGGCCCGTTGGCCGGTGAGTTTCATTTTATCATTTATATTAATCAATTTATCTATATGTTTAAACTATTTTGGATCTTCTACATTTTTTACATTTGCATTCATGCGTGAGTATGCGGTGCGTCTGTAAATTAAAAATTCTCAATGCTTAGCACATTCACTTATGATGTTTCAATTCTCTGATCATAAATCATGTCACAAAGATATATCACGATACTCAAATGCGTGAGTATGTGGTGCGTCTATAAATTAAAACAACGATACTCAAAATTTTTTATCTTATACAATATATGCCATTCAATGAATCTCGAGTTTAAACAAACTCTCAACCAATGATGTTGCTCAGATGACGACAATTTAGTTAGAATGTTTTTATAAAGGTACTTCAATATTAGGTAAATTTGGTCATCCCAATTGAAAGTTTATTGTCTTATTGTAAGATCATATTTGTCGATCAAGACACTCAATATAATATCTTATACAATATGTACCAACTGTTAATTCCTGAAGTTTAATTTAGACTCACCCTCAACTAATGATCGTTGTTTAGATGTTGGTTTAGAATCTCGGTCCAAGATACTCACACACTGTCGAGGGTTCTAATCTTAACATGGTCCATTGGTGTATAATTTTCTAACTTATCAAATATGCATATGCTTAAACTTATACTAATACCTTCATTTTGTTGGTGTAATGCCACATATATTGTCAATATCTAAGCATGATACTATACCCTAATTCTTGATGAGTGAACCCTAGGTCTTAGTTATCTAAATCATAGAGCTTAACCCCTAAGATTGTGCATGTAATTTGTTGCATATATTTTGACGAAGCATGACCGTTGATTTTTGTTTAGAATTAAATTGATCTTAGGGTATGAGATTTATAAATTTAAGACCTAGATTTTAATCTTGAAGGGTTTGAGAATAATACCATATGCCAAACTCCAGCCAATTCAAGGTCTAGATATCATTTTCTTACTCAAAGTATGTCATAATATACATATATAAATATAAAGAGTTTAATGTATTTTTAAGTGTAATTAACACCTTTGTTTGACCGAAATAGGTAAACTATTAAGAAAAATAAGGGAAAATATGAACAAATGTAAGAGAAAATAAGGTATGGAAGCATGCATTATAAGAGAGAAGAAAAGTTGTTTTTCTTTATCGCCTTCATTTGTACAATCAGGTACTATATTATGACTTCGTCAAGTTTCTATCTAAATGAAAAACAACTTTTGAAGCATTTTGCTATTTAATACTTGTTTTCATTAATAGATACAAACATTAGAAAAAGATAGTGTTTGATAACCAAAACATAAAATTATATAGTTGGTTTTTCAAATTCAATTGATTATTAAATGTTGATTATCTAAACTTCACTGTATTAAGTTCTAATAAAAATAAAAATTAATTGATCAGATTTAATCAAATATATTTATTAAAAGATTACAATATATGTCACTCTCCAAACATACGTATACTGTTGCTATACATATATATTGCAAAAAACAATTATTGAATAAAAAAAATATTAAAAGAAGATATAGATAGCTACATAAATGATCATTAAAATAAAAAGAAAATATTAAAAGAAGATAGATATAGCTACATTAATTGATCATTAACTAACTTTTTTTTGTTGTAAAAAAAGTGTACACCATGGCACCTTGTAAATTCTCCAAATGCTTATGTGGCAACAAACTACTTTTGAATTGCCATAATATTATGTATAGATTCCTTTCCTCTCTCTTAAAATCCAAAAAAGCTTCCTCTTCTCTTCCTTTCCCGATTATGAAACCTTCTTACCACCACAAAACCTCTCCGGCGACGACGAATTTCAGGACAACGACAATGGTGGCTTTCACGGCAGCGACGATGACGACTTTGAGGGCTGCAACGACAATGATTTTGACGGAAACGCGACGATGAAGGCGGATTCGACTACTGTAGTTGTCGCTGAACAAAGAAAAAGAAGCCGACTAATGCCGTTGAGGTAGGCGTCTTCTCCTTCCCTTTCTCCTTATGTTGGATTGCATATGTTTGATTTAGGGTTTCATTGATTCGACTAGATCTGGGTTCTTTCTTTTGCTTCATTTTTTAAATATGAGATTCGTGGTTGGGGATCTGGGGTTCTTGTAGGGGGATTCGAGATTCACTTTCTGTTCCCTGGGATTCGATTTGGGGGATATGGGATATCGGTTCTATGTGCTTCGTAGAACAATTGTTCGCAGACTTGTGATATCAGTTAACAGGCCTGGGATACTATTATATGATGATGTGCATATTAGTTGTCTTAAATTAGTTATGTATCTCCGTAAAATATTATTTCGCATGCCTAGGATTGTAGTTTGGAGGTCTGGGATATTAGTTCGTTGTACATTAGTTCGTTTCATGGTGGATATTAGTTCATTTCATGCTTGATATTAGTTCGTTTCATGCTGGATTTAGTTCGTGTTATGGTTGATATTATTTCGATTCATGCTGGATATTAGCTCATTGTATATTGATTCATCTTATGGTTCATATTAGTTCGTATCACGCTTGATATTAGTTCTTTTCATGTTGGATATTAGTTCGTTGTACATTGGTTCATTTTATTATAGATATTAGTTCATTTCATGCTGGATATTAGTTAGTTTCATGTTGGATATTAATTATGTAATTTAATGGCCTGATATTAGGTATGTGAATGGTGGATATTTTTTTGGTTTGTCCGGATATTACTATGGATGTATGAATTATAGTTACCTTATATTAGTTTTGTGTTGTCGGGATATGAGTTGATTCATACTTGGATATTTATCTATGCTCCAGGGATATTGACAATGGCAAGAACTAAAACAACATCGAAGAGGTCGAGACTAGGAGAAGGACCATCCCTACCTCGTTGTGGCATGATCGAAACGTGGGGGGGCTCGGAGGGACATGATCAAAAAGATTATCGAGAGTTTGGCCATGCAAGACAACATTTTAACTATTCCTTTTTTGTTTTATATGTGGTTGTACTTTTTCGGAATTTAGATTATGCGATTGCCAAGTTGGAATGGCATTAAATATTAGTTGTATTGCGGTTTGTCGAAAAGCGACTTTGTTTTATTATGAATTTGTTTAAACTAAATATCAACACAAACAAACATAGATAACACATCCACACAAAACAAATATCCAAACCACCCAGACTAATATATGTTGACCATAACAAATATCCTCACCACCCAAACTAATATCCCACCGTCTAAGACCAATATATAGTCAGTCATAATTAATATCCTCGCCATCAAAGACTAATACACACCATACACAAACTAATATCTGTCCATCACAGACTAATAGTAATACCCACCACAAACAGATTAATATCTGACAATCGCATACTAATACCCGCCACACACAAATTAATATCTGACCATCGCAAACTAATACCAACTACACATAAACTCTAAACCCTAATCATTAGACCCTAAATCCTAAACCATAAATCCTAATCGCTAAATCCTAAACACTAAACCCTAATCACTAAATCCTAAACCTTAACTCTAATCGCTAAACCGTAAATTGGTGTAATATAGTTGGCTAAGTGTGTGATGCTAGATACTTAAATGAACAAATTAAAGGATCACATCGGAATAGTTATCAAATGTGCCTCATTAAATACTAGTTGTATCGCGGTTTGTCGTAAAACGACGACCATAGTTCAAATTCTAGTATGCGTTTCTTTTTTAAGGAATAAATGAGAAACAAATAGTTCACTATGAAGACAAAAATATTGGGTTAATTGCATGGTTGGTCACTAAGATTACAAAAAACGTTCAAGTTTGGTCACTCAAAATATTTAAATTCATTGGTGGTACTTCAGTTTACTGAAATCCTTCACGTTTGGTCACTCTTCGTTAACTTTTGCTGATGTGGCAGTCAACTCTCAAAATTGACCGTTAACTTAGTGACGTGGCAACTAAAAATTATTAAAAAAAACTTTTATATTTTCCACCTCATTATTACATTCATGAAAAAATAAAATAAAAATAAAAGCCTAATTTCTTAGTGAGGATGAGCGGTTACTAGCATGAGGATTATAGTATAACACTATAATAAGGTTTATAATGATAATAAATATAAAACCTAATAAAAAAATCAACTCGAGCAATTGAATTATTAGCGAGGACCGAAACTACTCCATTCATCCGACAGAGCATCCCTATCGTTCCACAACAAAAAGGGTTAATACATCCCAAACTAAAATTCCAGACTCGCAACAAGTCCAGGAAAGCAAAATGAACCAGCACAAACCAAAGGAGACGACTTCACACCAGCACCGTCACTCTCCCACCTTGTTATTTTGTTGTTGATGATGATGAATCAGGCTGCTTCTTCTGGTCTCGTTTAACAAGCCAGTACCATACCAAGGTATTAGAGTAGAACTGACACACCCTCAAAACAAGATCAATGGGCAGAGACAAGTTCTTTCCTTTAGGCGAAATAATCACAAACATTCGACACATATGCCCAAAACAATAGGTTACTGATCGACGAGTAATATCTCCTATCTAGGTTTATCAAACGAATAAGCATTTGCTGGCAAAACATGTCCACAATTCGACAATCAATAGAACAATCTCCGAGTTAAAGATCCTCTAATCAGATCGAATTGAAGATTAGCGGAGGCAGCAACTCAATCGAAGCTTTCAAAGCTGAATCTAGGGTTTGGAAATCGAAAGGAACAGAGCGAAAAGGAGGAAGGATTTTACATTCTCAATGAACAGGTAGTTGGCTACGATCGTGCCCCGACGATACCGCCAATTATCGTCGCTGTACTGGAACGACATAGATGCTCTGTCGGATGAATGGAGTAGTTTCGGTTGTTCAATCGTTTTATATAGTATAACACTATAAAAAATTAGGTTTTTTATAGTATAACATTATAAAAATTAGGTTTTTTATAGTATAACACTATAAAAAATTAGGTTTTTTATTTTTTTATTTTTTAATGAATGTAATAATGAGGTGGAAAATATGAAAGTTTATTTTTTTATTTATAATAATTTTTTAGTTGTCACGTCACTAAGTTAACGGTCAACTTTGAGAGTTGACTGTCACATCAGCAAAAGTTAACGGATTTGGACGGAGAGTGACCAAACGTGAACGGTTTTAGTAAAATGAAGTACCACCAATGGATTTAAATATTTCTAGTGACCAAATTTGAACGTTTTTTATAATCTCAATGACCAACCATACAATTAACCCCAAAAAATTATATACATTCCCGCCATTTCTTCCAACTACTTCGTCCTCTTTTAGTTTCATCTTTGGGCCGTAGCCCATAGGTCCATGTTTATTTCTTTGAACCGTAAATGATGTAGGATTACGAAGGATTAAGTTTGGTGTTGTTTGCTAATGTGATTTGGATGTCGTATTTGGTAATTCAAATATCAATTATCATGTTTTTGGGCAAATGCATTGTTTGTTAAGGTATGCAAATTCGTGGGGCCTACGAATTTGAACACTTTTTTTGTTCTAAATTCGTGGAACCCATGTAGTTGCAAATATCACATTTCATTTGGTATTTGGTTGTGGAAGAAATTTTTTTAGACCCAATACCAAATCAACTAAATACATGGAAAAAAATTAACATTAACTAAATAAATAATGTTATTTTTCAAATACAAAATGCAATATATGCATCATAAATATAAAGGTTTTCAAAACTCAAAACCTTAATTTTCAAATCCAACACTGGAAAATGAAATGTAATAGCACAATAACTATTTGGGATGGCAACGGGTCGGGGTTGGGGTGGATAGCGCATACTGTTACCCTACCCAAAGTAGTTCGGATTTTACTCATACCCATACCCACATAAGAGTCGGGTAGAAAACTAAAACCATGTCCATACTCATTCGGATTTCGAATATCTACGGCTATCCATGAGTAATAGTTTCTCTTTATAACTCCAATAAACATGTTAATATTCACACGTACACTCACATTATATAAGTAGAAAAGTAAGATAATAATTCAATAAAATGAAGAAATTAATTCAAACAACACAATTTCATGAAAATATTATATTTGTATGCTAAATATAAAATACGTTGAGAAAAATAACTATCATTTCTAGACAAAATATATATGGGTATGTATAATCGGGAGGGTTAGGGTTAGATAGTGAGAAAATCATGCCCACCCATTACCAACGGTATTCGGGTTCGGGTTTTGCCCATACCGACTGAAAATCGTTCGGGTTTGGGTTTTACCCTACCCGATTAGGTCGGATTCGGACAGATATCCACGATTTCAAATATTTTTGCTATCTCTAACTAGAGATGATATTAGCTAAGATCGGGAATACAAATGCCCTCTCTATTTAAATCCACTTAGTAAAGAAAATGAGTTAAACATAACACAATTTCATGAAAAAATTATATATGTGTAATAAATATAACATATATGGAGAAAAATAATGATTATTTTCAAGCAAAATACATACATTATATTTTTAAAATTGGTATAATTGAAATAAATATTTGTTGAAACAAAATTAAAATAGGATAAAGATAATATTGTATTTTCAAAACAACTTTTCGTAGAAGTTCTAAATTGGAAAATATGATTTTATGTTATACATAAGTACGTTTTAGCTTTTTAAAGTCGAGCTATTAGAAATAATTGGCCATGTTTCACCATTTAAAATTGAAAAGCACTTTTATAAGCCGGACCAAACATTGACTATCCATTGAATATAAACCCAATAATTCATTTAAAAAACCCCGATAATTCACCAACAACTACCCATAATTTCCCCTATTGCTAATTAAACAAATAACCCCCAAATACCACAATCATACAAAAAAAGTATCAAAATCAATCCAGAAATAACAAATCCTCCGATAATAAAAAGGTACCAAATCAATTCAGAAATAACAAATCCCCCAATAATTGTTTGATCAGGGAAATAGATAGAAAGAAGTACCAAAATCAATCCAGTAATGACAAATCCCCCAATAATTGTTTGATGATGGAAATAGATAGAAAAATGTACCAAAATCAATCCAGAAATAACGAATCCCCCAATAATTGTTTGATAATAGAAATAGATAGAAACTGGTTTTCTCTATCATTCTCCTCCAAGTTCCACCAGCAGACGGCAACTCAGACTTTCTGCAGAACGAGAACATGTTATCGGATCCTGGTTCATAAAGAATGACTGTCAAGTGTCAAGTGTCAAGTGTAAACTAATAAGTAAACATACAAGCACATTGCAAGGCGTCCATAATGCCAAACAACAAGGCGGTAAGGTAGCAATGACAAATTCAAGGGGTGAAAAGGAAAATAAGAATCCATCTGATACCATAGCAGGAAAAAGATAGATAAACGAAGCCCTGCAGACTTCATTCACCTAAACAAACTGAAGAAAACTGGGTTTTTGCTTGAAGAGCCTTTAAGGAAGTGATCAATCAGTTGGTACAGTATAGTGCAAGGTCAGTGCAATCAATTTCAAGAATTCCAATTAGGTAAAAAGGGACAAGGTTAATGCTCAATACGTAAACCCATCTCGCTCATTCCCTGGTTTTAGTTTCTTTGATCTTTGTACAGATAAAAGAAATTAGTAGCCTTGTCTTTCTCCTTATGGTCTAATAATGATTCAAGATTTACAACAACATGAGTTGCCAGGTTGACTAGCAGCAACTCCCAGAGATGTTGTGGCTGTTAGCAGCAGCACCACTGCAGAGTACTTAAATATACAGTTCAAACTGTTGTTGTAAATTCAACAGTAGAATCATGCTACTGCTTCCAACCAGTTCCTCTCTAGCATATAATGTGGTAAAACTTAAAATCACATCCAACTTTAATTTCATAGGAAAGATAATTCATTTGAGCACCCTCATAATTGACCTAGGACTAGGATTTCAGAGGGTTTTCACTTTCAAAGTAAGGGCAAAAGAATCAGCAGACGTGCAAGGACCCTCTTAATGAAATTAAGAAGGATTATAAAAATCAAGGTTCAATAATGCGTTGGGCATTAGGCAGGCGTTGGGCAACTGTCTAGCGCATAGCACGCTTACGCATTTCCTAGACGATGCCTAGGCGTTTTAGCAAAAGTAACGGTTTATAGCAGAAATAACAATTTTATAGCACGTTTTTACTTTAGTTCAATTTATAATGTTATTGATTTAGCTAACTCTCTGCTATATATAATCAAAATAAGTCGTGACCTAGAATTGCAATTCCAAATTGAGAAATGAGTGAAGGATGCATTGAATATAGGGAAGTTAGAGATGACGTCGTTTTGGGAAAATTAGCTACAATTCTTTTAATCTTTGGTCTACTAATGCAATTAAGCGCAACTCACTTCAATTAATCAATGCCTAACACTGATTAAATTTGCCTATTTTTGCCTAAACGTACGTTACTTAGGTGTTATGAACATCTAATTGTCTGCCTAAGACCTAAGCAAAGCGTTTTGTCACTACCCAGTGCCTAGGCGCATCTAGGCGTACGTAATTCTACGTAATTTTGAACCCTGATATAAACAAAGCAAAGTTGAAACACTACAATCTTAGGTTCACAGGAAAAAACAAAAGTTTTCCGCTTAGGTTAACATGAATGGAACATTAGATAGTCGACTTCTGCAAATGCTGCCAAGCAAAAAAGCTATGATAATAATATTAAGGAACTGATATCGTCAGAAGCAGGAAATTTACTACGTGAATTACCTTAGACAAATTCAAGATACATTGATCCACGGTTGGAGGAGCCACTCAGAAAGTAGCTCATCACATGGTAAGGTAACATGTCAGGCACGTAACCATCCACTGTCAAAGACGTCAATCTGGTGAAGGGACAACACTGATTCTCCAGAAACTCGGAATTCCTGACCAGCAACTATACATAGAGGAAACAAGAGTTAGTTTGGTAAAAGTAACAAGTTAAAAAAACTATCAAAACCCCACAGATTAGCAGACATTTTACCTCAAAGAAAGCAGAATTCATAAACAAAGAACTCGCGTTGTGCAGACCTCGCAACAAACTGGTAGCACAAGCCATCATACCATCCTTGTTCCTTTCGACAAGACCGCGAAATTTCACCCAGATATCAGCAAGCTCAAGTGAAGGAAGGTTGAATTGGTACAACTTGGAGTACTCCAATTCCTCCCACAAACCAAAAAATTTCAGATTCGGCGCATCTATCTCCAGCTTAGAACAATCAAGGAAGCTAATCGCGAGCTTAACCAATCTCGGTCCGGAGATCTTAAAGCGACACGAGTGCTCCAATATGCAGCCACGCAGTACCAGATTCTCCAAGCAGGGGAAGTTCGCGAAAGGATCTAGGACCGCATATTCATTTTGACAGGACAGCCAGCACTCGTCCAAATCCAAATCTCTCAGCATCGCGAACCGAGTGGATCCTAATAACTCGAGCCCCAGACACGCTTCTCTCAGAATCAGAGTCCTGAGATTGCTATTAGCTAGAGGCACAAACATACTTGAATCGAGAGATCCAGCATCATGGGGAACACAAAGGCAGAATTGCTGACAGTCGCGAGATGCGGCGAATCTCACGACCCTGTTGAGCAGCATCTTGTCCGGCTTGTATTTCATGTGAATGTAGTCAATGCTGCAGATGTTACATTCTTCCGAGCGGTTGTACATGACTTCGTTGACAATCCTGGCGAAATTCGTAGGATTGAAGGACTCATCGGTGTCGAGGATGAGACGGTGAACGTGCGTCCACAGGTACCTCCACCTGGTGGAGAGGACGGAAGTTTGAGCAGAGAGTTTGATGGAGTCAAAGTAGGAGAGGATGTAGTGAAGGATATGGTCAGGAAGGCTGCTCAATCGGTCGACATGGATTTGCTCTTCTTCTGGTTCTCGCTTGATTCGAATTTTCTTGTTAGGGTTTCGGGTAGGCATCCCTGCTGCCAGAACAGCCTCTCTTCACAGAAATTGCAGAAAACAGGCTGCCGATTGATCCCTGCGTTACTTCCACTCGAGAGTATGGTCGGGGTCTCTGTACCAAATGAGTGAAATGACAGAAGAACTTTGGAATATAATATTAGAATAAATGGAATTATAATGAATGTTTTACCATAGTTTTGGATTCTATAGTAACGGATAAGCGAGTCAAAATGTATTAGGTATAGGTATAAATGGAATTATAATGAATGTTTTACCATAGTTTTGGATTCTGTAGTAACGGATAATCAAGTCAAAATGTATTTGGTATAGGTATTAAAATGGAATTTTCCTTTTTAGTCGTTGCAATCTGTTGCAACGACTTTTCGTGCTTTTTTTTTCTCTTCTCTACTTCTTCTCTCGATACAAATTGATTGCCGATCAACTGTAATAATTTTTCTCACTCACTTTATTTATCAATAACAAAGAGTCTCAGTTTCTAATATGGAAAGCGATGGATTTTATTGAACTTTTATCTTTTCCCGCCCTTCAACGTAACCTACCGGGAAGTACTGAACTGTGCATGCATATTACGTACTTCTATTTAATTTTTATGAGTGGGTTGGCTATGAAAATTTAGAGACGTGAAAATTTGTCTCAATTTCTACTTTGTACAAAATTTTAAAAAAAATCATTTGTGAAAGTTGAGCAAGATCTCGACGAATTACATAATATTATTAATATTAAAAAAATTACCCTCGTCATTGGCCCTCCCTTGTCACTCTTCCCCTTGCCACTACTCCTCCTTCTCCTTCGATCGAAAAAAACCAGTGGTTGCTCCTCTTCTCCTTCGCTCGAAACAACCCCTGCTGACCCAGTGGCCTGTGGTCTCGACAGTGGAGGCATATTGTTGCATGTGGCCTATTGACGGAGGACGGCCTCGGGGAGGGTGAAATCAGCGCCGACGGTAATGGCAACACCGAAGCGGAAATTTTACCTCGACCGTCAATAGGTTTACCTAAAGCATTTATAACACGAGCCATAAAAGTTTCACTTACATGTATCTGAGCAATCTTTCTTGTTGCTTTTACAGAGCTTCCCTCTTGAATCGTTAACCCATCACCCATTAATACAACACCAACATTATTTGGTTCCATATTCCGTCACCATTCCATCTCTTCGTCCCTCTCCCTCTCCCTCTCTACCTTGGCGAGCTCATCTCTCCATCTCCCTTCCTTGCTTCCCTTCCAGTCAAAGAGACGACAATCCCTACTCGACAAAAGCAATCTTCTCCTCCGGTTTGAGAGGCGTGGCGTCAGACGACACTGTAGAGGAGGAAGGTGCTAGGCCGACAGTCTGGTCAAATCTGAACTAAACCCGAAATATTTTAGTTCGGAACAAACCGAACTGTAACCTTGTTCGGACGGAATCCCACTCGGAAAAGGAGTGTGGCTTGGAGTCAGTTTGGTCGAGTTCGGGTTTGAAAAACCCAACCGACTGAATGCCCACCCGTACCTGGGTCCCTGCTCCTTTAGAGTATATATTTAGCTCAATATTCGAGATTTTAGAGTTTTAATCGATATGCGTGCGGGTATGGTTGTTGAGCTAAAGTACCCATGTATTTCACCATTACTCTTTTTCGATTAATATTTGTGTCAGTACAACTTTTACCACTTATATTTGTGTTTTGAAGGTTGACTCGGTTTGTCCAAGACCCGATGAGGAAAACGGGCGCCTGCTGGTTGCCCCACTATAAGGTTCTCGAGTTGAAGGTCAAACGACATTGTTTTCCCATTTGGTTTGTGAAATGTGCATCTTTTCTAGTTTTTTCTCTCGCCTAACTATAAGTTGAATATTCAATATTGATGTTATACGAGAGTGTTTAAATTTTGAATATAAGTTGGATTCAAACCCGAAACGTTATTTTGGTGTTATATTATAATGTTATTCCCCCTAAGTTAGATGTGAATTGATATAATTTATAAGTTTATGAATAATATAATGACCTTTTCATATATCTAAGATAAATCGGACTAAAGCGATCGAACTTTTAATCCTCAACCCACTTACTCGACCGCACCAAAGAACTAAATTGGATTGACAACCTTGATGTTTTGTGTTCCATCATCTCCTGGTCCCATTGACAAGATAAGGATATGCAACAGATGTCATCAGGGGCAGAGGGAGAAGCGGGACCCACCCTACTTGGGAGAAAATTTGATAAATTGAATATTCAATTGAGAATAGTTGATTGATAGTCTTGTGTTCTAATATTTATTACCTTATTTGTTAGACACATGATATATAGATTTATATATAAAAACTTCAAAGCCAGTCGTATTGACAGGAGCTTGTGCAATCTGGCGTGGAACACTTCCTTCCCCAATACCTCGGTCCTCCATCTGCCTCGCCTCCACTCAGACCACAACCCGATCCTTACCTCGGTGGCCATCCAGGGGCATTCTACCTCTCTCTCTCGTCCCTTTAAATTTGAGGCTGCTTGGTTTACTCATAATAATTTTATGGATTTTGTAACAGGGCAATGGAAGCAGGAGGGACCGTTACCCGATGCTCTTCGCGAGCTGGCTACAGCGTTGCAGACTTGGAACACCAATGTTTTTGGAAATATTCAACAACGTAAAAGGCGTCTTTTGGGGAGGCTTCGAGGCGTGGAGACAAGGCTGGCATCCATGTTCGCGCCTGGGCTGGCGAAATTGCACGCGAAGTTGGAAGCTGATCTTGACAAGGTGTTGGAGCAAGAGGAAATCATTTGGTTCCAACGATCAAGGGAGAAATGGGTCAAGTTTGGAGAGCGAAATACTGCTTACTTCCATCAACAGGCCAACATCAGGAGAAGACGCAACAAGATCAAAGCCTTACAGGACTCCAATGGAGTATGGATTGATGATCCCACTTCACTGGCTTTCTTAGTTTTTGATTCTGTTGCTAATCTCTATATGCAGGATAACCCCTCCTATGAAGACAGATTGCCCAAGCAGGCTTTTCCCCGGTTGAGCCAGTCCGAGATGCAATGCTTCCTTCGCCCTTTCACTATCCAGGATATCCACCAAGCAGTTTTTGACATGAAGCCCTACCAGGCACCCGGACCGGACGGATACCAGGCAGCCTTTTATCAGCAGTTATGGCAGATAGTGGGAAAGAGTTTGACTGATATGGCTTTGTCGTTCTTCTCCACCGGCTCCCTGCCAGCTTCAGTTCTGGAGTCTACTCTTGTGCTTATTCCTAAAGTGGAAACGCCAGAGTCGGTGATGCAACTCCGGCCCATCTCCCTGAACAACGTCAGTCTGAAGGCTATCACGAAGGCCATGACTAACCGGCTGAAGCCGGTTATGAGAAAGCTGATCTCCTCAAGACAAAGCAGTTTCATTCCTGGGAGACAGACTACGGACAACATTATTGCAGTTCAGGAAATTCTGCACTCTTTCAGGAAGAAGAAGGGGAGGAAAGGAGGGATGATTTTCAAGATTGACCTGGAAAAGGCTTATGACAGACTCAGGTGGGATTTTCTTAGGGACACGCTGATGGAGATAGGGCTGCCGAGTTCATGGATCAACTGTATTATGTACTGTGTGGAACAGAACCGGATGAGGGTACTCTGGAATGGCTCTCTCTCTCAACCGATCACCCCAACTCGGGGAGTCCGTCAGGGAGACCCTCTTTCTCCTTATCTTTTTGTTTTATGTATGGAGCGGCTTTCGCATTTGATAGATAGAGCAGTGATGGATAAACAGTGGAAACCGTTGAAACTTAATCAGAATGGCCCGCCCCTCACGCACCTCTTTTTTGCAGATGACCTCCTACTTTTTGCTGAAGCCGAATCGAGACAGATCAGGACCATCAAGGCCTGTCTGGATGATTTTTGCTTTAGCTCGGGGCAGAGGATCAATTACAACAAGTCGATGGTGCACATTTCCCCGAACATTCCCAGGTCCAAGGCGATGGCTCTGAGCCAAAGAGCTGATATTCCTCTCAAGGCGGACTTAGGGAAATACCTCGGCATTGAGGCCATCCACGGGCGGGTCACGAAGTCAAGGTATCAAGGTTTGGTACTGCGTATCCAGAAAAAGTTGGCTCCCTGGAAAACTAGAAGGCTGTCGCTGGCTGCCCGTCTCACTGTGGCAGGTTCGGTAACTTCCTCCATACCTGTTTATCATATGAATACTGAGATGATTCCGAGTGCAGTGTGCAAAAGCATAGACAAGATCAATAGGGACTTCATCTGGGGCGAGGAGGAGAATCAACCTAAGATGCATTTGGTGGCCTGGGACAAGATGACTTCTCCAAAGACTCAAGGAGGAGCTGGGCTTCGCTCCCTCAGACAAGCGAACCTGGCAATGCTGGCAAAGAATGCATGGCGACTCATAACGGACAGAGATGCCCTGTGGTCCAAGGTGATGCGGGCAAAGTATGGAAGACAGAGGGATGGGCTGGACATTCTACGACCAATTCAGGGAAGTTCCTTTACCTGGCAGAGCTTTGCTAAAGCGTCCAACCTTCTTCAAAAAGGTTGTGCGTGGAACATCAAGAATGGAAGGAACACTAAATTTTGGCATGATATTTGGTGTCTGCAGGTACCCCTCAAGGAGGTTGCTCTTGGCCAGGTCCCGGATGATCTTGAGGAAGCCAGGGTAGCAGACTTTGTGGACCAGGAGGGTAGATGGAGGACCGAGCTCTTCAACACGCTGCTGCCGATAGAGATTCAGCACAAAATCACCTCCATCGCGGTCGACACTCTATCCAGTGGGAATGACGAGCTGTTTTGGACAGTCTCGGCGGACGGGCGCTTTTCGGCAAAGTCGGCTTATAGCCTGCAAAATCAGGAGTCTCAGGATCCGGACGAGAAGCTTTGGAAAACTATTTGGAGACTTCCGACTCCTGAGAGAATCAGGACGTTCATGTGGACTGTTCTCTTGGGGAAAATTGCCACGAACTCGCTTCGTTTTGCTAGAAAGTGCGCAAGTAATCCTTTCTGCTCCAGATGCCAGGGAACTCCAGAAACCATTATGCATATTCTCAGAGATTGTCCGCCGGCACGTTATTTCTGGATCCGCCAGATTCCGGGAGCAGATCAGGGGCGTTTTTTTGGCTTGGATCAGGATGCCTGGCTGCGAGAGAACATTGGTAAGGAAGACTCCACTGACATGGGGCCCTCCTGGGGGACTTTCTTCTGTATTGCAGGTTGGCTGATGTGGAAGAACAGGTGCACTACTTCTTTTAGGGGGGCGCAAGAGGCTCTTTCACCTCCCTCGCTTGCTTACTCCATCATGGCCAAGGTCAAGCTTTGGCATGAGGCCTGGGTCGCCCCCTCTCCGATGCCGGGTAACCGTCGCCAACCTGCAGATCGTGTCACAGCCAACATTGGCTGGAAACAACCCCCTGGAGGATGGATAGCTCTGAACATTGATGGTGCTTCGTGCGGGAACCCGGGTCAAGCTGGAGCGGGTGGTCTCCTTCGAGATGCTTCAGGGAAGTGGATCGCCGGCTTCACGGCCAGCATTGGCTCGGCAACCGCGGCTCTGGCAGAATTATGGGCATTTTACTATGGGCTTGATTTAGCTTGGAAAGAAGGATGCCGAACTGTCATCGTGCAGTCTGACTCTCAGCTGGCCATCCAGCTTATTGAGAAAAGACATGATCCTGTCCATCCTTATTCTACTCTTCTTTTGGCCATTCGGAGGAAGCTTAGCCTTGACTGGCTGGTGAGCATTTCTCATACGTACCGGGAAGGGAATAGAGCCGCGGACTGGCTCTCGAAGCACAGTCTCGTCTATCCCTACGGAATGCATGAGCTTGCTAACCCGCCCTCAGGGCTAGGTCCCATTCTGCAGGATGATGTTAGGGGGGTGTGTTTCGAGCGTCGGATTGTTCCCGGAACGCTCGGCCCTGCCCTTCCCTCTTAGCCTCCCTCCTCCTCTCTTCTTTGGCGAGTTTCGCCTCCTGTAATGCAAAAAAAAAAAAAAAAAAAAATATATATATATATATATAAAAACTTCAAGCCCATATAACTAATATAAGGTAGCTTTCTTTCGTAGGGGTTTGCTAGTAAATGATTGCTTACAAAGAACACCATTTGAAAGTCAATGACTAACTAAATTGTTGAGTTATTGATACTAAACGATTATTGACCAAGAACATCATTGGAAAGCGAACAACTAAATAAATTATGACAAATAGTTTGATATAAGTTGCATCATTGAATCTCTCTCAACAACTCAAATTATCGATACTAAATGGTTCTTGACAAAGAACATCGTTCAAAAGCGAACGAGTACCTAAACCATGAATAGTTGTTTGGTACACAAAAAGAGATATTCTTGATCGTTTCGACTACTAATGTATTTTTATTTATCAAAAAATTTCAAACATAAAATTATATCGTAAATATTTAAATATATAATAAAAATAGACCCACCTTGGAAGAAATCCTGGCTACGCCCCTAGATATCATGTTGACAAATGGAAGTCATTGTTAGTTTGTTACGTTTCTCTCTACTTAAATGTCGTGGGGAAGAAGAGGAAGTGAGGAACAGAGAGGCATGAAAGAGGGTTAGATTTGAGAGGAACAGGGTAGGGTGGCGTGAACTTCTTATTTCTGTACATCTAAATATAATCTAAATCTAAATCTAAACTAAAGAATATAAGATGGTGGAATTTTGCAGAATTTTCCCCATTTCAAATTTTCTGACTTCTCCTTAATTGTAGGTAGGATATAAAAGTAATTATACCATGACTTTAAAATTAAAAAATAATTATCTCCTTATTTTTAGTAGTGCACGCAATAAATTGGGAGAGAGAAGAGATTAGAGGGAATAAAATAATATGAAAGATGTTTAACATTTTCAAAAAAAAATATTTATATTTTTACATAACAGTTTCGTATATCTTTTGGAATATTATTTGATTATGAACTCTTAAATTAATATAAAAAGATTTATAATTAAAAAACCTTTTATATTTTTAATGTACAACACGTTCCTTCATTTTATGCTTTTGGAATATCATTTAATTTTCATGATTAGTAACCCTTTACTAATATAATTTTTATTATGTATTCTAATTGAACTATCGAACTGGTAGTTTGGTGTGGTAGTTTGGTGTTGTATTGGATTGTTTTGAGTTTTCTTTTCTAAATATTTTGTTAACCGATTATGGAAAAATGATTTTGTATGGCTATATCAATATAGCTAAAAATTGACAATTAAGTACTAATTCACCGGAAAAAATATAACTACAAGTTAAGTTTTTTAATAGAAGATATTGAAGTTGTGTTTGATGTTAGTATTGAATTAACATAATGGTGTGGTAGAAACTCCAAAATGCTTATCGAGTACGGTATCCGATTATGGATCACATAGCTGGTTTAATACTATAAATATTACTAAGAAAAAATTAAATAGACGAGGTAGTGTTTATAATCACTTTTGTTTTCTTAATATCTTAGTTCTTATTATTTCATTTTTATTTTAGGTTTATTCTTAGTTATCTCCTTTTTGGAGTGGTTTTCGTTCTCGGTTAAGCTATATTGTCTACAACTATCATTGATTTTCAATAATTCTATATGAGTTCACAAAAATGATTGATTAATAGTTTTATCTATTTAGCCATTATAAAATCAGGATATGGGGTACAATACATTCTTTTGTATTTTAGCATTAAGGGTAAATAATTTAGCAATTGACTATTTTTGTATGGTTAAAACAATATAGCAAGTTGATTTTGTTGATTTAATAATTAATGGATAATTTTAAAAAATTATAAACTCAATTATTCCAGCCAACCAGCCGGGCACATGCCAGTGTGTAATATGTTTAACTTTCTTAATAATGCTAGTGTGTAATATGTTTAACTTTCTTTGTATTAAGAATTCGACTTTGGAAGTTAAAATATAGTAGATGTTCTCATTTCTACCTTATCACTGGAATAATAATTTTTTAAGTATTTTTATCTGTCAATTCTCATAAATATTTTAAATCACGTACCTAATTACTACATTTTGATTAACTAAAGTCAATGGCCACACCACATTTCCACAACTAACGGGCCCCTAATAAAAATTGCACAATTTTTCTATTTCGTACCCGTTAGATAATGTCTCCCGCTTCTCCTACTAAATAATCTTATGTAAGATATGTCAATTCGATTTTGATTTTTTCGGTTTATGTCCACCAATAATAACATGATTGAGACAAGATCGAAAACTATATGAAAAACCTAGTTAGAGTTTAAATACCCTAGATTTGATTCAAGAATCAGTCCAAGTCACACATTAATTCCTTTCTCTACAAAAACAACTAAAATAACACTATTTTATTTATATAAATTAAATACAGAACCAGTTAAATACAAATACGGGTGGAGCATGGAAACGGATAAGTTACCGAATAAAACAAATAAGTTACATAGATTCAATAACAACAGAATACGAAATGATCACTTTAGTACAATACAACAACAGAAACAAACACGTTACATTAATTCGTACACCTCCATCTTCCAGTAGCTAGCGCGGTTGGCATATATTCAGTAGTTAGTTTCCGACCGAAGGAGTGACCCCGGGAATGTTCGGAATTGCCACCGGAACGCCAGCGACGCCTCCACCAACTGGCGGCAAGCCTACCTTGGGCACAGCAGGAATGGTTGGGACGACTCCGGCAGGGACGGGCAGCTTGGGCACCACGGGCAGAGTCGGGACGGTGACAGGGAGGCTTCCGACGGCAGGAAGGTCAGGTAGCTGGAGAAGCTGGCGGGCCGCCATTCCAACCTCCACGTTGGAGAGCGAGACGGCAACGAAGACGGCGAAGAGGAGGAAGATGGAGGACTTGGAAGCAGCCGCCATGGTTTTTTAGGGACTGAGGCTGTAATATGGCAACTTCAGTTTAAATAAGAGATAGTTGAAGCTTTGCTCTGTGGTGCGTTTTCCAGTTGGGCTCTGTTGGGCTCGTTTATATAGAGGAAGCTGAGGGACGTGGTTTGTGAAAGAGGAGGAGATTGGGATAGGTGATGAGTGGTGTAGTTTAGCGGCGATGGGTGTGTATGGACAGGAATTTGTGGTGTAAGATACCAAAAGGATTGCATCGGCTACATGCCAATTCCCATGCACATGGAGCATGGCACGTCCAGCCTGCGAATTCTTAACATTTGTCTCTGTGTAATTTGATGCGCCAGCTTGCTACTCTTGTCCTTTTTTAACCCATTTTTATTTCTCACTGCATAGAAAAAGGGGGGGAGATGTTGTGCTGCAAACCACAGTCGTGTTCTCTCCTTCCCTGAGGAATAGTGCACATCGGCTCGGATGAACAGTACTATCAGTAATTCAGTATCAGTTCTCGCCTGCCTGTGTTCCGTAAGGGCTGAAAAGGGGCTTAGTCATTTGAAAAATTGGATGATTTAAGTATACACTCCCTCCGGCCGGGGCTGCATGTCCGCTCGCCGCCTCCATCTCACCTCAATACTTCAAGTCAATGATAACTCATAAGCCCCTATTTTCAAGTACACCAAAACAGAGCAGAAGAAGGAAAAATAGGGGAAATCAGCACCGACAAGAACGTGTTTCGTCGAATGCGACGTTTGAATTATGTACCAGTACTCAAAGGAATCGCAACCTCAAGTCGCGCTCCAAAACTAAACTATTTGTGAATTTATAGCGAATTACAAAAAAATCACGTTTTGTCGTTGTAAAGCGAAATCATGGGACCTAAACCCACAAATTGTGTGATCCAAGATGAAAATATTTATTGAAATAAGAGAGATACAAATAGATATTAAAGAAAAGTGAGATAAAAACATGTTAAGTCAGTGCCAAGATGAGACATGTCGAAAGTAGTAACTCATGTCCCGTCACACTCTATTACGGGTCGGGGAATACCAAACCTAATAAGAATCAGGTCGGATAATACCCAGTGGGATGAACTCCATAGTATGATGTAGACTTTCTGTGAACGTGAAAGAGTAGTTTGCCATAATTTTTTAATGGATATGAACATATATACAACACAATCAACTCATAAATTTACTCTACTAAAACCCATTATAAATCGAACAAGCGAACAAATAATCTCTAAAATCCAACACAAAATAACAAAATCTACCTTAATCCTTCCATCCAAAATTTAAGATTTTACCAAAATCCTAGAAAACCACCTCTGTATTTCTCTTCCAGATTCCACCTGTAGGTTGCATACGAGAATCCACAGTTCGTTATATTGGACGAGCTACACAAACAAGAACATGACATTAGTAAGAGATGTCATTAGAGAATAAGAACTGCCTACCACAGCAAAGAAACGTTGACGAGTAAACACGCAAACAATAGTAAAGCATCCACGAGAGCCTAACTCCTGCAAGTTAGCAACAGTTGCAAAAGCAAAGGTAGGCTGCACATTGTAAAAGGTTAAGACAGAAAGAAGGCATTACATAAGCTGGTTGTCAAGGAAAAAGCAACATAGTGATCATTCAAAATAAAAAAAGGCATAGCATACCACAGCAGGAAAAAGGACAGATAAATGAAGCACTATCAAACTGCAATCACCTTATACAAACTGAAGAAACCCTGCGTTTGTACTGGAAGAACCCTTAAGGAAGTAACTGATGAGTTGATCCGGTATAGTTTCGGGCTCCCTACTGCGTGGCACTTTCAAGCATTGCAATCGAGTAAAGGGACATCGATAATGCTTCAACCCATCACAAATCATGCTCATTGCCTACACATCACATAAACGATCAATCCCCGTAGATCAAATACAGTGCTGTTGTGGTTCCGAAAGGGCAATCAATCATGGAGAATCAAACATCAATCGGATGTAAATCATACCTCAACGATATGATTATCGAATCGCAGGGAAGCTGCATTGTGCAGAGCTTGGAACAGGGTGACAAAACTGGCAGTCAGTACCCTTCTCCTCTCCTCAAGAAAGTAAGGCGCGATCTTGATCCCCAAATTGGCGTGATCAAGCAAAGGAAGGCTGAACCTGGAGAATTTCGGAACATCCAGGTACAAGACCAAACTCAAAGATTTGAGCTTCGGAGCAGCTATTTCAACTCTAGCACAACCTAATTTCTTCACACCATGGATTTCCAGGTTCACCAGTTGCGGTCCGGTTATCTTGAAACACTTGCCGGAATTGATGAAATTGCAGTCCACGAGGACCAAGTTCTTCAAACAGGGGAATTCCGCAAACAAATCGAATTCCGATTTCGGGTCGCCACAAGAGTATATGTGGCACTCTTCCAGATTCAAACTTGCCAGCCTGCTGAAGCCAGTCCAAATCGAAGCGACTGCATCGTACAAACTGACCCGCGCCAGCTCCAGATCGCAGCCTGGAAAGGGGCCAACCGAGTTCGGTTTCGATGCGGATTTGTTGCGTATGATGGGACTCCGCATAACGAAGGACCCTCTCGAACCCTTCCCTGTGCTCTCGCACCCACAACTGATTCTGCTCGTAGTTACGAACGGCCCTATGAAGCGATTCCGAGTACTTGTAGCTAATTTTCACAATATGGGAAGCATCGCTACGGGAATCAAGAACATGGTCCAGGAATTTTATGAAACGGCCGCAATCTGGGTCGCTCGGGAAGGAATATATGTCGAAATTGAGGCGAGGGGCATGTTTCTGTAAAGGCTGGAAGACGTGTTTTGCATTGATGAGGAGAGTGGCTTAAGTACCAACTCTTGAACAGATTGAAGCTACAAAGTAGGAACCACTAGCCCACTAACTAATACTAATGACGTTACAAACTAACAATAATAACATTAATTAATTACAGAAATTGAATTTATGTGCAGTCCTTATCACGCCCCCGCAAGATGGTGATCGGAACGACGCCAATCTTGGACCGGAGTAGCTGAAATCGTGCAATGGGTAGCGGCTTCGTCAGGGAGTCCGCTAGTTGATTGGCGGTGGGTATATGCTGAACTTTGAGATCCTTGGATTGGACAAGATCACGAACAAACAGGTAGTCCAAAGCAAGGTGCTTCATGCGGGAATGGTGGATCGGATTGGCGGAAAAATGCACAGCGCCAAGATTGTCGCAATGCAGAGTGGGTGTTGTCCGCAACGGTTGATGTAGCTCACCGAGTAGGTTACGAATCCAAAGTATTTCGGAGGTAGCGTGGGCAAGAGCCTGATACTCGGCCTCGGTGCTGGAGCGGGCAACGGAGCGTTGCTTCTTCGACTTCCAGGAGATAAGGTTGTTGCCGTAGTATACGAGATACGCCATGGTTGAGGTGCGATCGTTGGGGTCACCGGCCCAGTCCGAATCAGCGAAGGCAGTGATGGTAGGAGTTGAGGAAGAAGTGAGGCGCAGGCCATAATCCGGGGTGCCCTTTAAATAGCGAAACAGCCGTTTCACATGCTGCCAATGAAGCTGGGTGGGAGCATGCATGAACTGCGAGAGTTTGTTGACGGCGAAGGCGATGTCGGGACGTGTGATGAGGAGATACTGAAGAGAGCCAACAGCCTGTTTATAAAGAGTGGGATCTGCTGGCGGTGTCCCATCAACGAGAGTGAGCTTGGCGGTGGAGGAGAGTGGTGTGGGCGCTGGGCGCGTGTCCGACAACCCAAAGCGGGCGAGAAGATCAAGCACGAACTTGTGCTGGGAGAGGTGCAGTCCAGCAGCTGTAGGTAGGACCTCGACACCAAGAAAATAGCTCACGGGGCCCAGGCTTTTGAGAGAGAACCGAGCGGAGAGCCGGGCTTGAAACTGAGACAGGGAGCGCGCATCATTTCCTGTTAGAAGAAGATCATCGACATACACCAAGAAGTATAGAGTCACCGAGCCCTTGTGGTAAATAAAGAGAGAAGCATCACATTTGGACTTCACAAAGCCTTCGTGCTCGAGAAAGCCAGATAGTTCCGTATACCATGAGCGTGGAGCCTGGCGAAGGCCATAGATAGGGCGAGTGAGACGACAAACATGATCTGGATGAGCTTCATCACGAAAGCCTGGGGGCTGGTGCATGTAAACAGTCTCATGAAGAGAGCCTTGTAAGAAGGCATTATTAACATCAAACTGCAAAATAGGCCACCGGTGAGAGATAGCAATAGAGAACACGGTGCGAATGGTGACCAGTTTGAGAACCGGGCTGTAGGTGTCATGGAAATCAATGCCAGGGCGCTGGGTGAAGCCCTGAGCAACTAGACGGGCCTTGAACCTGTCAAGGGACCCATCGGGGTGCCACTTAATCCGGAAAATCCATCGACAGCCGACAATATGCTGATGCAGAGGACGCGGAACAAGCGTCCAAGAGTGATTAGCCAAAAGAGCCTTATACTCAGCCCACATGGCTGAGTTCCAACGTGGATCAGCGAGGGCTTGTTTGACAGAGCGAGGAGCAACAACAAGAGAGTTAAGCTGAGCAGTAAATAATTTCTTTGGACAAAATGTACCAGTTTGGCTGCGTGTGACTGGGCGGTTGGCAGCCTTTGTTGGAGGTGGTGGCGGCCGACTCATGTTGGAGGAAGTGGCAGCAGGGGACGCCACGCGGGAGGGATGTCCTGGAGCTGGGTGGCGCGGAGAAATGGAAGGAATAGGTGTACGGGCAGATTGGGGTAAGGGTGATGGCGAGCAGGAAGGTTGTAGCGAGTGATGGGAGGTGTGGTGAGAGCTACCCAATCAAGGGAAGAGTAAGAGGAAGTGGGCGAAGGTACGGGCAGGCCGGGAAATTGGGTTTCTTCGAATTGAACATGACGCGAAACATAGATACGGTCGGTGATGGGGTCGAAGCATAGGTAAGCACTTTGAGTGAGAGAGTAGCCTAGAAAAAGACAACGACGGGAACGCGGTGCCAGTTTGTGAGGTGAGTACGGGCGAAGCCAGGGATAACAAACACAACCAAACACTCGAAGTTTGAGAAGGTTGGGGTGTTCGTTGAACAATGTGTGATATGGCGTAGCACCACGAAGCGAAGAAGAAGGTAAGCGATTGATGAGATAAGTGGAGGTACGGAAGGCATAGGACCAAAAGGAGAGGGGAAGATTGGCAGTATGAAGCAGAGTGAGACCGGTTTCCACTATATGGCGGTGTTTACGCTCGGCGAGGCCATTATGTTGAGGGGTGTGAGGCGGGGTGAGGAGATGGGTGATACCATGGGACTGGAAGAAGGAACACAGCCTTTGAAACTCACCCCCACCATCACTGTAAACCCGTCGAATAGTAGTATGAAAAAAATTCTCAATCATTGCTTTATAAGCGGTGAAAGTATGATGAACATCAGATTTACGAGCAAGCGGATAAAGCCACGTGTATCGAGAAAAATGATCAACAATAACCAGATAATAAGAGAATTCATCATGAGAAACAATGGGAGAAGGACCCCAAACATCCATATAGACTAAATCAAAGGGATGAGAACTAGTAAGACTAGAAACGGAGAATGGTAGTTTATGACTTTTATGAAGAGAACAAGATTCACATGAGGAGTGGGAGGACATAGAGTTTACTGGGAGAGAATTATTCCGTAACACACGAGAGAGTAATTTGAGATGAGGATGACCCAACCGCTTGTGCCATTCGGTGGAGGAGAGTTTAGCCGCAACATGCATGGCAAGACGGAGAGGTTGCGACGTCGCCGGTAGCTCATAGACATCACCCCTATTCAGGCCGCGTAGTAGGTGCGCCCCCGTAGCCAGATCCTTCACAACAAAAGAGTCAGAGAAAAATTCAACAGACACTGGATTAGCTTTGCATAACTGAGCAACAGACAGTAATCGACGCTTGATGGCAGGTACACAAAGCACATTACGAAGAGATAATGGTAACATATCCGTAGGTAAAGAGGAATCGCCGACATGGTAACATATCCTGAGCCATCGCCTATAAGCACCTCATCAGGGCCATTGTAATCCGTGTACAGTGAGAGGCTGCCGAGGTCAGGGGTGATGTGGTTTGTAGCCGCCGAATCCACCAACCAACCCGAAGAAGATGAGGAACCAGCAACGGTATGATGCGCTTGAGGACGGCCCTGAAGACGGAAGCAATCCTTGGCCGTATGGCCGACCTTGTCGCAGAATTGACAAGCCACGGGAGGACGGCCGAGAAGAGAAGAGCCAGATGGACCGCCATGGGAATGTTGAGCAGAACGAGAGGGAGATGGACGGCGGTGCTGCCGCGGATTGGAAGCACAGCGGTAATATTCATCAGGGCCTAGGCGAGACTGTGGAGAGCCACGCGGGGAGCGCGGACCAGAAGGGTTGTAGCGGCCGCGATTTGTGGCGAAGGCAGTGGTCGGTGCCGACGACAGAGGTATGCGAACAGCTGCCAAATCTGCTTCGAAATCAACGAGGCGGTCATGTAGATCTTCAATTGCAATCGGTGTGTCCCGGGCGCGAATGGCGGCAGAAAAATGGCCATACTCTTCACGAAGGCCACGAAGAATGTGGAGAATCAAATCTTCATTGGAGACAGGCGCGTTGATGAGGGAGAGCTCGGCGGCAGTCGAGCGTTGGGCCTGGAGATAGGCAGAGACAGAACGATTACCCTGACATTCACGACCGAGTTTCTCCTTGAGATTCATAACTCGTTGGCGTGATTGGTTAGCAAACATACGTTCGAGTATGTTCCAGGCTTGTTGAGAAGAAGTAGCAGCTGAGACATAGGGAGAGACGCCAGGAGCCATGGAGGCCAGAATTGAATGGAGTATAAGCTGGTCCTGTTGATACCAGCGTCGGCGGGCAGCGGGAGCATCGGCAGCGGGTTGAGGATGACTGCCATCGAGGAACTTGAGGAGGTCGAGGCCGCGGAGGAGTGTGAAGAGCTGAGCACGCCAGGTGGGAAAGTTGTCACCATCGAGCTTTGTGGGGAGTTGGGACGCAGGATTCAAGGTTATGACGGTATTAGCGTCGTCGATGTTGATCACAGATTCGCCGGACATTGTGGTGACGAGAAAGAGAGACTGGTGCAGCGGATTGGAGAAGACAGGAGGGAAAGAGGCGAGATAGATTTAATTTTAGGGTTAAGGAGATCAGAACGGTAGCTCTGATACCATGTAAAGGCTGGAAGACGTGTTTTGCATTGATGAGGAGAGTGGCTTAAGTACCAACTCTTGAACAGATTGAAGCTACAAAGTAGGAACCACTAGCCCACTAACTAATACTAATGACGTTACAAACTAACAATAATAACATTAATTAATTACAGAAATTGAATTTATGTGCAGTACTTATCAGTTTCCAGAGGGATCTCCAGCTTGAGGATAGCAAGGCGCTCTGAACGCAGAGTTTGGTGTTGTTGGGGGTATAATGAGCAAAGCCCAAGTGGGGGGCAAGGCCTAAGCAAACTTGGGCTCCCAAACAGCCCAAGTGGGGGGCAAGGCCCAAGTAAAGGGGATGCCACATGAAGACAAGGCACAAGAGGCCAAGGGAGGACAGGCTGTCATGTGGTCCAGCGCCTGCGGGCGCCTGTCACGTGCCAGGAGTCTGACAAGGTGGTTAGGATGTCTGGCCAGAAAGAGACAAAAGCATTGAATGAAGGCAGGAAGGCAGAGAGGATCAACCTCGAACTCAGGTAAGTATAAATA